GTGAGCTGATTTTAGTGTCAGTTGCCTCTCTTGTCAAACAACAGTTGACCTGCATTGACCTGTTTCCTATTGTCCTGATATTATTTTTTCATGATTGCAATGTCCTGGGAAAACAATTCACCATGTTCGTCACTGACTGCATCAAGATCGTAATTCTTGCAGATAATTTATAAAACCCAAAGCCATGAATGACCCATAAAAGTCAGTGGAGAAACAGAAGTTGTCAGCCTACTTAAAGATGTTTGTCCCCTGATCTTGGTGGCTCTGAAAGACATAAATGTTCATACCTGCTGATAGCAAATTCTATACTTTTACTTATAAGAACCCTCAGTCCTTGATCAGGTTATTTAATTCTAGCTCCATTAGTAGATGATGATAACCAGGCATAAATGGTTGTTTTTCACACCTGGGTTGGGCATTGTGGCTTCTTCATCTACCTCATGGAGGTTCCAGGCCTCTGGTGGCTTTGCTGAAGGCAGATTGGGGTATTCTATAGATTTATTTTAGCATAGAAGCCAGATACATTAGTTAGACATAAGTAACAATCCATCGTGTGATCATTATGCTGCTGCGAATTTGACAAGACTGGTGTACGGCATCTTCTTGAAGAAAATAAATGCTATTGTTAAGTACACTCACTGTGCTGTTGCCTGAGTAACATGTGCATCAACAGGGGTTCAAACAATATCAATGTAATGCTAAGTTTCTGTATATTTCAGCTGCTTTTATAGCCTGTCTGCTAGGGTCTACCCTGACTAAGCATGACCAGGCATGCCTAAGATGACATTTGTATAGCACCTGTACTGGAGTACATGCCCAGGCATGCTTGGGGTGACAAGCTTGCTTTGTGGTCAATATACTAGAACACTTAATTTATGTATATGACAGCAAATCACAAAAATAGGTTATATGTACAAAATGTGATAGGAAAATTTAAAGTGATTTTTGTGATCAGCTCAAATTTCATAAAATATACCCAAAACTGTTCAGGAAGCAAAATCTTTGTTGTTCAGTGTAATGTAATGAACATATTGAACATATTACCTTTCACCATCATTGCATGGCAGTTCGTCATCAACCGAACTACAGCCAAATCCAGCCTGGCAAATTTTACTGCCGGGGGACCCTCCCTTCAGACACAGTGGATGTTGGCTTTGTGATGCTGATGGAATGTGGCCATCAGGGGGAAAACTTGGGCACCCTTGCACTTCCTTTAGGGCTAAAGTTCATGTTCAGCTGTGACACATTTGCATTTGTGTGCATTCCCTGTAATATTGTAATGAGCAGAAGAATATCCCCCATCACGTTATCAAAATGAGTGTTTTACACTCAAATTATATCAAAATAAATCAATTAGCAACACTAATATCAAAAACAGATATTAATATATGGCATATGAGGAATTAATGTATTATACACCAATGATAAAACACAATACAACATGGAATCGCATTGTTATATGTGTGATTCTCAGTCAGAGAGAAAAGCACAATGCGAGCTACAACACGACACAGTCTTAGCAAGAAACATCACTTGCACGCAAAAATAGTGAATCAAGTGAACGATAGTGATGTCCAATTCGTGAACAAATTGTTCTTTTGAAGCAGTTTTTTTTAGAGAATCGGTCAAAGCGGTTTTCAAATCCAAAAGGATCATCCTTTTTTTTAGGCCACATCCACGCATTGCACAGGTCAAAGTCTTCTAAAAATCTAAAAATATTTCACAAATTATCATAAGAACATTTGAAAGTTACATTAGAGAGGAGGCCTTTCGACCCATCAAGCTCGCTTGGGGAAAATTCAACTAATAGCTTTAAGTTGTTAAAATCTTATCTAGCTCTGATTTAAAGAAACCCAGGGTTTTAGCTTGCAGTACACTAGCAGGAAGACTATTCCATACTCTAACTACACGCTGTGTAAAGAAGTGCTTCCTCAAATCCAGTTTTGAATGATCCCGCTAATTTCCATCCATGGGTACGAGTTCTTGTATCTGAATTAATATTGAAGTAACTATTCGGTTGAATAGCATCCAGACCTGTTAGAATCTTATATACCTGGATCATGTCCCCCCTTAGTCTCCTTTGCTCGAGGCTGAACAGATTGAGCCCAGTCAACCTCTCCTCATAAGACATTCCTCTATGACCAGGAATCATTCTCGTAGCCCTACGTTGTTCCCTTTCCAAGGCAGCAATGTCCTTTTTAAGGTATGGTGACCAAACCTGCATACAATATTCTAGGTGGGGTCTTACCAAGGAATTGTATAATCGTAGCATCACCTCCCTTGACTTAAACTCCACACGCCTAGAGAAAGAACCCAACATCCTATTGGCCTTTTTAATTGCTTCCCCACACTGGCAAGAGCTGGGTATGGAAGCATCAAAATACAAACCAAGCACATTAAAAAAACAGCATCCATGTTGCCTTCAGTGCCCCTCTGCATACCGTGATCTGTTTTATTTGTGCTGTGTGCATGCTTGGCTGCATGGTGACTGTGGCTCACTAATCCCAACTAATGATGACCAAAACAAGGTTCATGAACCATTTACATTTAAATTTACTGCATTTGGCATACTTATATAAATAAATGCTTAGAAGTCTCATCAGTTAATACATTCTGATACTGGTTCAATAAAACCTGGATAAGAATACGATCACTCTAAAAGACTCTGTTGGCAAGTCATAATTTTTTTTTAATAATAATAATAATAATAAATATAACCCTGGAATTGCTAATTCATATACTTCCAAAAGAGGTAGGTTTTTAGTCATCCTTCGAAGGCATCTAATGACTCAACTGTTCGGACATCTAGTAGAAGTTCATTCTACCACATTAGCGCCAAAACAGAAGAGTCTCAATGCATGTCTTCCTTGCGTCTTGGAGATGGAGGGATCAGTCGAGCAGTGCTGGAGGGCTGTAGAAAATGTGGTGCAGTGCGGGGTGAGATAAGTTCTTTCAGGGAGGAGGGTGCTGGATCATTTTTGGATTTGTAGGCAGCCATCAGTGTTTCGAATCTGATGCGGGCAGCTACAGGAAGCCAGTGGAGGGAGTGCAGGAACGGTGTGGTGTGGGAGAACGAGTCGGGCAGCTGATTCTGGATCAGTTGCAGAGGGTAAATGGCGCTCAGAGGCAGACCTGCTAGGAGTCACAGTAGTCTAGTCTTGAGATGACGAGTCCCTGAGTGGCCTGAGTGGAAAGAAATGAATGAACCTTTTGCTGTATTTTCTAAGTGCACTAGATGGAGCTGAAAAAGGGCTCAAAACATCTCCCAATGTAAACCAAAATCTCCATCTAAAATCTCCATCTAGTGGGGTCAGAAAATACAGCAAATGGTTCATGAAGCATCATTTTGGCATCACTACTCCCAACTCTCAACAATCGACGAGTAAGCAAGTTCCGCAAGTCGACTGGCAATTCTCATAAGACTCATAAGACCCAACTGCAGATGTTTATGATGTAATTTATTCATGTAATATTATGAATGAATGGTGTGTGAGTGTGTGCCCTGTAATGGGTTGGCGCCCCATCCTGGTTTGTTCCCTGCTTTGTGCCCATAGCCTCCGGGATAGGCTCCAGACCCCCCCGACCCTGAATAGGACAAGCGGTTACAGAAAATGGATGGATGGATGGATGGATGAATGTATTATTATTATTTATTATTATTTAAAATGCAAATAAGTACATTATTAGCCACTGGCATCACTGGCATCATTTTTATTATTTACTTCATTTCGTTTGGCACAAGTTATTAAGTTTTGGAGTTGCATTCCTCCACCCCTATTGTACATATGTATTGTAGAACGCAATTTTAGTGAACGCAAGGTTTTTCAGAAACACATTATTCACATTGTAACAGAACTGACTAGTATAGGAATACAAATAACCACCTAAACGGTGGAGAAAGACTTTACCTATTGTCATATATGTGGAATGTGCAATAAATGAATAAGTATACTTTTAGACCTACATATCATAACAAGGATTCTCAGCATTTGGGTAAAAACATATTAACTTACCGTATGCATTTTCAGGTGATCAATCCAGTATTACTAGACATTGTAATTATTAGGTTGAATTTTAAAATATATTTGAAACCTGGAAGTTCAAAGAATCAGAGTACAGTTAAAATCTTGTTGAGAAACAGAGTCTCTGAAATACCAATCAATGTGGTTTACGCATTTATCATTGAATGCATTAATTCCAAATAGTGAGTAGTTCTGTAAACATTTCAGATGTGTGGTTGTAGTGTCACTGAATCAATACCTGTTTTTAGCCAGTGTATACCCTTCTGACCAATTAAAAGTATGATTCTTTCTATGAAGGTGTGATGCGGAGACATTTAAAATTTCTCTTACAAACTGAAGTGAAGTATTGCAGGGAAAATGTAAAGAGAGAGAGAAGTTTTACAGGCACTGTTTTACAATGTGATTCAAAAAGAACTGGTTCTACAGTCTGGCAGTCATCACCTGGAATCCTCTGAGCTTTAGACCTTGGCCTGCAGCCATACCCCCCTGGATTCTCGCCATGGGCGCTAAGTTACGCCTATCAATGTACTCACGCCTCCCAGCATCTAACCTCCTTTTACAACTGTGTAATCCACATATTCCTTCAGAGGAAGCTAATAAAGTTGTTTTCCTTTCTTTACTCTCCTGTATGGGAAGTACCTGGCAGTAGAAGGATTTACAGGTTTCCGCCTCAACACGTTTGGTTCATGCCGCAGTAGCGTGAGAACCACAGTCCCCATAATGTGTGCATGCTTGTCCGTGTGTGTGTGTCCATCCATATATGGTCATTGGGGTATTTCTTTGAAGGGTTTGAAGTCATGTGTTTGCATGTCTACTAGACTCATTTGTTCTTCTTCGATTTTCAATTTTTTAATTAATAGTAGCACCAGTAATAATCATTGTACTAGTTGTAAGAGTCCCATAAGCACGCAAAAATCTTTTTCGATTTTGATAGCATGTCATGATCATTATGTGTATTTATCTTTCACATATTTGCAGATCAGCCTGTCCTGCCTAAGAATTGCAGCATCGTTTGAAGACGATCACTCAGAACAAGCCTGTTGATGCTTATTACCTTGATTACCATCAATCCAACCATGTGCTGATCCATAAATACTACAAGATTCTCACAGCACAAAGTCAACCTCAGACAGGTTCCAGCAGTAGTTTACATCCCTGTAAACACCTATCCGATGGCCCACCCATACGAGCCCTGGTTTCGGTCAGGGCCACATGGAGGCAGCAGTGAGGATCTAACAATGCCATCTTGGTGGGACATGCATTCGGGGACAGGAAGTTGGATGGAATTGCAAGGTGGCTCAGGGGGACTGCAGGGTGTAGGCCAGGGTGGTGCGATGGGTCTGCAGCCTCTGGGAGCTTACACCTCTGACACTCAGTTATGCAGCCTGCCCCCAACTCAGCTGACTCCAGCTCAACACCCCTCACTGCCTTTCCCTCAGGACAGCTTTAAGATGGAATCAGTAGGGCCAGAACTATTGCAGCAGCAGCAGTCCTTGGAGCAACCATTGGACAATAGTGCCGGGACTCGACCTAAATCACAGCGTCGGTCAGCTTCTCGGGGGTCAGGACAAGCTATGTGCCGCTGCCCCAACTGCATCGATGCCGAGCGATTAGGACCCTGTGCAGACGGAGTCAAGAAAAAACATCTGCACAACTGCCATATTCCGGGATGTGGCAAGTCCTACGCAAAGACCTCCCACCTGAAGGCCCATCTTCGATGGCACAGTGGAGACAGGCCCTTTGTCTGTAACTGGCTATTCTGCGGAAAGCGCTTCACCCGATCTGATGAGCTGCAGCGCCACCTGCTGACGCATACTGGCGCCAAGAAGTTTACCTGCACTTTGTGCAGCCGTATCTTCATGCGTGGTGATCACCTCACCAAGCATATGCGCACACATGATTCACCACGCACCGAGGAGGACGACAGGGAGGGCGGAGGTCCCCAGCTGGGAAAATGCTGTGATGCGTTATCACCCCTCCACCCTCCTAATGCTTCTCCCGGCACACTGGAAGCCCCAACTGATCCCAAAAGCGAACCAGCTATGATCAGCTCTACACAGAGTGGACAGGCTAACTGAGGGCACCTTCTTTATATTAAGTGTTAGACTTTTAAAACAGTGCATATTACTGCTAGAAGTGAGAACGATGGATGGGTTCTAAGAAACAATTCAGAAAGTGTTTATTAAAAACAAATTACTGCAGTCGTTATCTCAACTACTACAGTGGGTCCAAAAGAAGTGCAAACCCCGCATTTCATCATAAGATGAATGAATGGCAGCTAGACTGATACATTCAGAGTGCCTTCATGCTAATTTAAGATAAAACTACTTGCAGTACACGAAGATATCCGAATATCTGATATCTGAAAGTTTAAGTGCCGTTTACAGGTGTCAGGCAAATAGCATCTCATATTCTTTTTTCTTTCTAAAGATATCTTTGAGTTCTGCCTTAATCGATAGTATGAACAAATCTAAACAAACATATTCCTGGCGATTCATATGCCATCAAGCTAATACATGTTCGGATAACATTTAAATGTTATTCATTTAATGTTCAGAGCTCCATGGCAAAATCAGCTGTCACTTGTTGATTTCAATAAATTTATTGAACATTTCCAGTATTTAGATATTTTATATTTTTTAGTTATTTGTATTTTAAGGAAAACAAGAAAGTATGAAGCATTTTAATTAAAAAAGTAGAAATATTTCTGCCAGCAGGTGTTTTTAACCATTTTTATCTTTTTACTAGGGCAATTCACATATCTTGCTTAATAACACTACAACACAGCTACAGCACTACATCAGTACACTACCTGCAGTTACCAATACATAATTTTCAAAATGCACAAAAAGTAATATATGCTTCAATAATGTTTACATTTCATTGGTAAATGTTAACTTAGAATTGGTTTGAAAAAATGCAGAATAACCATCACTGGCAATTGTTTCTGGCAGTTTTCAAACTGACAAGTAGTGTATTTAGAAATAGGCACAATGTTTACATGTAAAATACATTATTGTATTCATATTTCTTGTTTCAATTAATTATTTTCCAGAATAAATTAGAAGTTAGACATTTAGAGGTATAAATTAGTGTTCAGTTCATAGATTTTAGACTACTATACCGTAACGACTATACTGTTGTTTTGATTTGCTTATCCACCTGTTCTTTAAATAGAACATCACCTTGCAGAAACACTATTTGGATCATAAACACCATACAATGCTTAAATTAAATAATGAAATGAAACATTTGAGCATGGTGACCCATAGTGTAGGTCTGTTGCTTCGTCCCTCTGGGCTTGAGGTTCTGATTCCTGCCCCATATTGTGTCTTTGTGGAGTTTGCCTTCTCCTCCAGTTTGCAGGGCCACCTTTCCTTCCACAGTCCAAACACATACAGTTAGGTGCCTTGGTACATAACTTGTCTTTAGTGCAGTGTTTCTCAAACCGGTCCATGTTTTTGCTCCTTCCTTAATGCGTGTATGTCTGCCCTGTGATAGACTGGTATCATGTCTAGGGCAGCTCCTACCTTGTGCCCTGAGTTTCATGTACAGTAATAGACTCCAGGCCTCTAGTGACCCTGTACTGGATAAGCCATTATGGATGATGAATGGATGGTTTCTTCATCTTGAAAACATCTTTTTCACTGTCCATTAATTTCCATTGAGAAAAGATGTATTCTTAAACACTTTCAGTGTTTTGACAGCTAAGTATTTATGTTTAGTGACTTAAAGATATATTTAAGATTAAAGATTTTTTCATGCTGTAACCTCAGCAACATATGCCATCCTTCAACATCAATCATGCGTCTGTAACATTATGCATTAATTTTTGGGAGGAAAAAAAAACAAAGCTTGAACTAAGAATAAAGTTATGTCACATTATAGACAAACTCAGTTTTCATATCCTATCAAAAGTACATGTTAATTTATTTGGCATGTCTTAATATAAGCCAATAGACAGATTTTGCGACAATTATTGACAAACTTTTTACATTTGATTTTTCATTGGCTGGCAAAATTATATTTAATCTTAATCACAAAAATCTGGTGCACAATAAACTCTGACGCATTCTACAATTTTCTGCCTACTTATAGCAGTTAACTCATAGAAATTGTTCATATTAATATAGTGACAGTAGTACAGTTACCTTAAGCAAGATTAATAACAAAAATCTTCAAACTAATTATTCACAACTGTAGTTATGGCAATACAGTAACTTTTGGGGTAGCAGTATGTTTGAGAAAAATGAAGTTCCATATACCAGAAAAGGCCAGTTGAACAAATCCAATCTTATTTAATATTTCTTTGCTATTTTATGTGATTATGCATTTAATAAATAGAAAGCTAGGTATGAATTGTTAGGTTTATGCAAGCTTTCTGTTTGGCCAGTTTAATGATTTTTAACTCCAACAAGACTTTTTTAAAGGCATCGATATGCAGGAAGACTGTAATTAAAGGAAAATGCTTAAGTAAATTGTTAGGAAATATTAACTTTATTTAACTTTATGTCACTGGGCTACAAATTTCTATGTACTTGTTCAAATTAATATGAATGGAATATCCAAGGCCGTTTACTCATAACATGTGCATTTGTATGTGTAATGTATGTGGGGAAAAAAATAAAATAAAAAATATATATATACACACACACACAAACACACATATATAATACAGTGATATTTATTTATTTTTGGAGCTTGAATTTGTTAATGTTTTTAGAACAGCCTTTTTTTGCAATGACAACAGCATTGTTCCTCGTGAAGATAATGGTACTGCAATACTAGATGCTTTTTTACTTAAGGAATTCTTTTCCTTAATTCAAACTCATTACCATTTTAATGGGGAAAAAAACTTGATTACAATCCTTTTCCACAGTCACAAGCAATCCCCAGGCAATATATCTTCAAAGCATTCTTAATTTTAAGCAGTCGTGTATGACAAGTATTTCATTTCAAGATTGATACTATTTGCTGATTTCAAATTCTTGGTGTCTGTGAGTTGTTATAAAATAGTAACAATGTCATTTTGTTAAATGTTATTTTTTAGAATATTAAATAGGTCCTATATCATTTGTATACAAGTATTTTGCAAAAATAGGAATACTGTTTGATTTTATAGAGCAATGCTTTTTTATTTTAGCATATTATTTCATATTCTTTCAATTTAACCATAAAACATGGAACTTCCTGGAAATTATGCATTACTATTTGGGATATTTGAATGAGACTGCATCCCTTCTCAGTTCCTACAACAGATGACATATTTAATCATACAATTTTAATTCCATTTTGATTATCACAGTAGGAATTAATTGGGCATATTAATGTAACTGCAACCTTCTTGTGAAAATATGTAGTTTATATTACTTTTGGCTTATTTAAAACTGTGAAAATCACAGAAATAGACGTTTGAGAATAAAGTTTTTGTAGTCAAAATTACACTTGTAATGTGTGATTGATTTCAAAAAAAGCTGTTTTTGCATTGTGGTTCATTTTCCTGAAGGGGTATTTCACCCAAAAAAAAAATACATAGTAATTTTATACATTATACTCTACACACTCATCTTCTGTGGCATTGCTGAAAAACCAAGAACACTAAAATTAAAAAAGCAACACTTTAAATATTTGCTTCATTGAATCTTCTGTCAGTGTCTGAGGAAGTATATAATAGAAATTGCAAGATTATTTTAAAAATAAAAGCACATACCAATAAAGCAAAAAAGACACCAAGAAAAAGGTTGTGCTGACTATTAAACACTTAAACACTCCAAGTATGCATCACATTTATACTATGCCTTCATGCGTTATCCAGTATCATTGTTTCAGCGTTGCAGGTGGACCAGAGTATCTGCTCCACTTCCAGTATAAGAATATACTGTAGCAATGCGTGATATCAAAATGTCAGGTCCCAGTAATTAAAGCAATGTATAATTCCAAAACAATTACTAGTCACTGCCACTAAAAGCCCACAGAGCTACCTCATTAAGCGTAGAATGGTTACTAATTAGGCGAGCGTCCTGGTCAGGTAGTTCCATTGAGGACCCCTGATGTAGTGAATGTATGAAACAATTTGCATGATAATATGGGACAAAACACAACCTGTATTGTGTGTTTCACAATTCACTGAAAAATATGCAATGCATTCAGTGTCCCTCGACTGAAGTACATAAGCAACTTGAAGCAGGTCCAATGGAGCAGATCTCTCAAAGCACTTCATAACTGTAGAGGGGAGTGCAACCAGAAGAAATTTGTTTGGATCCAAAATATTTTCTGGTAAGCTGACCTGAACACGCCTGACCCATGGGTTACAAGCAGAGTCATGCATTAATATGCCCAGATAACTCTTAATGTGATTTTTTCCCAAGCGCGCTGCTAGACTATAAAAATATATTGATGATTCCCTTTTGAAAGCTTCTGTGTGTTTTACCCCATTATTGCAATGCACACTGACTTCGACTTTAAGAAACACTGTTGACTCACAGGTCACCACCGAGGCAGAGCTAATGATATTGGTAAAATTTACATCAAAATGCCCTAAAAGATGTTCAGTTTGTTTGCTAATAGCGTACCTGCGTTAGCTGTAGCATGGGCATGTCCTTTGAAGTCTGTAATTCACTGAAGACTCCGCCATATGCTTCATACTACAGTAATTTTCCACCTTCTCCCCTAACTTACACAATCTCTCCATGTTTCCAAAACAACGTGACACGATTAAATTATCCCTTGGTAAATTTTGGAGAGTTCACCGTGGTATATTTTGAGGTAACTTGCCAAAAGTGTGAAAGACACACCTTCCAAGAGCTGAGAAATACTTTTTTCTCATTAGAGACAGATAGTAAAACAACAGATAGCTAGACAATTGTAATTCCGAGGCTTTTCTATGAGCTGTAAACGTTTTACTATTAAAGCTCCACGGCTGAAGTCTAACATTTTTCAAGGTCAAAGTACATCTTGCGGACAAATTTTTTGACTACATTTGGTTATTAAAAAAAGCATTGAGAGGTGTGCTGGTAGCCGAAATTGTAAATTCAAACAACAAAAAATTTGTTTTTTTATTGAAAGGAGTGTAGGAGTTACAAGGCTCTGAACTTGTAACAAAAAATACTGACACGACATTAACTTTACCCTGTTATATACAAAACACAGCTGACTTTCACCCACTCCATTGCTGAAACTTCATAGGGCTGCTTCAAGTTTGGGGTGATCTGTATACATTTTTTTTATCTGTTCCAGTTCAGCAACCATATAATGCCTCTGCAATGTTTGAGAAAGATCCACCAAAGAGTTTTGAGTTATTCCTTTAGCAAGTGAAGTGCCTTCGATAGCAGTGGACCAGTCTCAAAACCATATTCATTCACTGACTCCTGACAAAACAATTATTATAACTGCAAACAATTACATTAAATTTTTTTATTGAATATATGAACACTATAAATGTTCCTATTATGTTTGCATTTTTGAATATTCCAATGGCAATGGAGTCTGGCAGAATCATCCATATTTGCATAGTTCTCAAGGTTTCTATTTTTAATAATACTTTAATTTTTTTATCTGCAAACCTTAAAGAGCACTCCATATCGCTGACTGTTGCACAAACATACTAATGCCAATTTACATACCACATTAATATCCCGATTTGGATCTAGCCATAGGCAACAGGTAACAATATGATTAAGGACACAGACGTATAATTTGAAGCTTGCAGGCTCACATCCCAGCAGTCGTCTGATGCTTTTAGGCAAAGGTACTAAATCTGAACTGCTCCAGTAAAATATCCAGCAATATAAAACACAATTACATCAGCATCTGACTATCTTACTGAACCAAAATGCCTCACGCAATTTCGTCAGACTTACATTTAACATGCAATTCATTTAATTAATCAAAGTATTGTAAGGATCAAGAAGGGGTTTATTCCATTTGAAGCCTTATGTCATGGCTGTGATGTTGGTGGCAGTGGAACCTTTTGCACAAAGTCCTGCTTGTGTGTGCCATCACAGTACGGGGCATTACTGGTGTGCTTGCAGCCACAGAGCAACAACGTGCCATCTTGCTCGGGTATGAAGCGGAACGGGGATATCTTTGGAGCCAAAGCCTTGTGGGAACCGTCACAGAAGGGCTGAAATGTGAAAGACAGGGCAGAGCATCATGGACATGAGATACGCTGTAGGCCTTTGAAGACTCTTAGCTGCAGTTTTATAGGGCATATATTTTTATAATATTCTCCTTGAGTTTATTTTTGGAAAGTGCAACAATGCTCTGAGTAATATTTTTTCTATTCATCTACCTTCCAACTGCTTTTGCAATACAGGGACATGGGGTTATAGGGCTAAGCCATGCAGCAGAGGGCAGGGAACAGGGAACAGCCTGTACAGGACGCCAACAACACAGACACATGTGTTTGTAACTATATCTTTGTGGGGACCATCCATTATTTATATGGGGAACAAACCCAAATCCCAACAATGACAACATTGCCCCCCCTAACCTTAACCATAAGTAATCAAACAAAACACAAAACTTTTTGTATTTCTAAGTTTTTGATTGCAGTCACAGATTTTTATAACATAGGACTACAGGAAGAAACAAGGGTACAGTAGCTGAAGCAAATCCATGTAACACAAAGAGAAACTCCACCCACAGACCAAGGGCAGGATTCTAGCAAATATGCTGTCCACAACAATAATACTATTTATCATTTGTTTTATTCACTATTAATATTACAACACTAAGAATTTACAGAATATATTACTGGAAATTTCAGCATACACAGAACACTATGCAAGATCAAGGCATCAGCTAGGCTCAGAATGTCAGAAGAGTAAAACAGGTTCTGTTCACAGGGAAAATGTTATAGAAAAATTAAAGCAGGAAAAAAGATTGCAGCATCACATGCATTGAAGCCTTGATTCATACAGTGCAGTTGCTCATTCATAACACTTGACTGTGCCTGATCTCCAAAGAATTTTTGTGTAAAACAAAGGACAACCTCAGTAAACACAACAAACACTTTTTAAATGACCATTTGATTTATTGAAGGAAAAGAATTCACCAAAACCCATGTCACCCATCTAACAATGTGCCCCGTTAGTCACTGAATCAGCCATTGAATCTAGAGCTAGGTGGTATGACCAAGAATTTATATCACAATATTTTTCAAAGTCATATCGGTTTCACGGTATATGACGGTATTTTATTTTTTTTTTTAAGTATGACTGGGCATTTACCACATTTTACAGGACACATTTCTGTTTTACGTTTTTGCATTGTTCCCACATTAACTATATTATTTTATTATTAGCCATTGTGTCTATCCGCTACTTTAATGATAACATGCGGCTAACGTATATGTTGGCTAACTGCTAATGAACGGCTAATGTTAAGGTGTGCGCCGGCCAAGTTAACATTTTTGATGCGTTCAGTGTTGCTGGAACGCGACCTCGCGAAATGTCTCATAAGGACGGGGTTTCGGTCTTTAAGATGCTGCACCAGGTTTGACGTGGTATTTGACTTCGTTGCCACAACTTTGTAGCACTGTTTGCATAGAGGCTTATTGACATCCTTAGCCTTTCCATGCTCGTCTGCAAAATACTTCCAAACAGCACTTTTGCGTTTTTTTTTTTTTTGTTACTAAAGCAGCTTGCAAAGTGCCTTAAACTATAGCATATGCCATGTTCGGCCAACTCGGTATGTATGCGTTAACCAGCGTGAATGCGTTCAGCGGTGGTGCTGTGTGAAGTGTGACGAAGGAGGGCAGACTAAAGATTTTTTCAAAAAATTTGCTTTGTTTTAAAAATAATCCCCAGCCCTCTTTTACTAAAATACATTTTAAACAATATACCCATTATATACTTCTAGCAGCCTTATTTTTCAAAAGTTATTTCGTTTGTCGGTCCACCTGCCATGCGGTTACGCTACACAGCGTGTCTTGAAATTCTGAACACAACCATCATAAACAGCACACCAATCATGTTGTAGCATTTTTCCGTATGTAATATCTTTCAATGTGTGTAATATACTTCAGTGTATGCGTGTGTGTACTTCATGTTCCATAGCCTAGCCATCTTGCTTAAAGTCAGCGGCGGTGAATAGACACAGTGCAATTATTAATAAATACATATAAAAACACATAGTATTAAAGTTACATGGTGTATATCAGTTCCCCAGAGTTTAATGCATAAAACACACTTTACATGTCTGTAATATTTAGGTTTATTTTTGCCGTGGGGTTGCAGCAAATAGCAAGTGGGAAAATGCAGTGGAATTTTAAAACTATTGCAAGTTATCACAAAAATTTTGTGAGACAATACAAAACTATTTTCCCACCCTGACCTCTTAGGGGCTCCGTAGTATTCTATGTACAGAGTGATTTAAGGTATGAATCAAATCGTTGATTTTTTAATTATACAATAACTGAATATGGGCTTTTAAACGCCATTATTTAACCTTTAATATAAAGGCAGTACGGATAGCAAAGACACCACTTGGTTTTGCTTTGATCAAACAATTCCTGCAAGTTACAGTGGTGTAAACATTCACACTGAACATTAGGCATACTATTTACAATGGAATTTACTCAATTTTATTAATGATTTCAAAATACAGTACAGCTTTTTCTAACTTTTCAGAGTACTAAATTAAATTACCGAACTGTGTATAATTCAAATACGCTATAATACAGTACTGTACATAATTCAATTCAGTTTTATTTACACAGCGCATTTTCATGTTACATTGTATCAAAGGGCTTATTGTAGTTACGCGGTTGCATCTTAATGGCTCATTTTTGGCAGTTTATTATAAGCTTTGATGAGTCTATATTTTTCATTGAGAGAAAATGGCTCTTTATCCTGTCACATTTTCTATGGACAGGGAATTAGTATCTGGTAGCTAGCGAGAAGCAGACGGGTTACTGAAAGGCAAAGTAGGACGATAAAAGTTAAAAAAAAAAAAAATTAAATACAGCAGTTTTAATTTTTTACATGGGTTGTTGTTTAAAAAGACCCAAAATGGGCACTGTAAGTGGACTACTGGATTACGATAAGTGAATTATTTAAACAGTATTGGTAACAGGAATGATTTTGTCCCAAGCTTTTTGATCCATACAAGTTGTTGATCACTATAACCATGATCACTATAAGCAGATTACATTGTATTTATCTTTTCCAACTACAATGTTGCAAAATGCTTTACCTGTTTCTTGCTGTATCCACAAGCACACCAAGAATAACGCTGGCCTGATTTCACATCCACTCTGAAAGGGTGCTTGGCTGCAATGCAAGGCTCTGTAGTTTGACTTTGGATTCTCACCTATTCCAAAACATGGTTAAAATGTGTTAATGGTACAGTGAGAGGTCATGAACTTATGTGTCCATCCGCCTAACAATCCAACTGCTTATTCCAGTCATGGTAAAGGAAATTCATGTGCTTGGTACAACAAATCAGAGTGGCCTTTACATACAGTACAGGCATCACCAAATTTTTCAAGAAACCCTTAGAAAACCAGAGACTGAGGTGTTTTCTAGGAAGCAGTGGCAATAACAAGGGTAACGGGAGACCCGAGCTTAAAATTTAATGAAAGTGAAGGCGAATGCATGGAACAGTCAGTCTGCAAATCAAATGCTAGATAAGAATATATCCACTAATTAGCATCCCCAAGCAGATCATGGGCTCAGAGAAGTCCAGCTACTTACCAATTATATTAATCCAGGGGTGGGCAATCTTATCCAGAAAAGATCGTTGTGTATGCGGGTTTTCACTGCAACCCGCTAATTAGAGGACTGATTGGATGAAGAGTCCTCACACCTGGCCTAAAGGTTATCCCAAAAACGTGCATACACACCGGTTCTTTGCGGATAAGATTGCCCACCCCTGCATTAATACATGCCTTCATCCCTGGAAGTCTCCACAGACTTGGACTCAAATGTAAATTAAAAAGTATTTTAAGTGAGGGATCAAATTATACGCATTATATGTTGTTTACACATTCTAGCAATTTCAGTTAAACATTTGAAGTACTGAAATACATATATATCGTATAAAAAGCCATAAATTTGCATTCTATAATGCCTCAAACCTTGATAGTTTGACATGCATACTTAATCAAATAGTAACATGGAAATAATGGAAATTACTTGTCTGGGTTAGGCTACCACTATAGGGGACATGCAGAAAACGGAAAAAAAAAAAAAAAGAAGAATCAGCATTTTCTACATTCCCCATCGCAAGGCTAGGTGTCTGCCTAATGTTAATTGTATAGCTAATTAAATGTCTACTGATCTCAAACCCCTGCTGTAACATACAATCCTCTTACCCAAAATATGGGAAGAATCCCGAGTTTATGTCGCTTAAGGGTTGATATCTTCCCTCCTCCTGCAGTCTTGAATAATATCCTGATCATGGTTTTTTTATTTGTCAGTTTCTCTATCGCACTTTAACATCCAGCAGCTTTCCCCACTAAAATGCAGATCACTAAACTATATTATTCAGCAATGAACCTTCGACACTTTCTTCTTTTTCTTCGATTTTTATAGCGGTTGGCAACCAGCCTCAACTGAGCATTACCGCCACCGACTGGACTGGAGTGGCACAAGACGCTAACCGCCCAAAACCGAGAGAAAACTAGATCTTCTTCTTCTTATTATTATTAATAATTATAATAATTAAATAATAAACAATTAAATAATAAACAAAAAATACTACATTCGCTTGATCAGACCCATCCCTTTCACTTTGTAATATGTCCTGTAGATTTAGCCTTATCTTGTCTTGACAGTTGTGAGAGTAATCTTTGTCTGTGTATGAGATATCTGGGGCCATGCAGAATAACATGTTTGACGGACTCTATAGACAATCATTCATAATAAACACAGTTGCCATCAGTGTGTTTCGTCATTTAAAACAATGTGCTATTCAGTCTCGCGTGCCCATATCTCATCCTCGAAATTAAATCTTCTTCCTGTTTACTTCTGTTCGTGTTTCTGCCTTTCCCCACTTTATTTTAGATACTATAAAATTTTCTTGCAGTCTGTATATTTTCCCATAGTGTCTGCCATTCCTTTTTAACTAAAGTCTTTACCATACTTTTAATTTCTGATTTGCTATAATTAACATTAATGTCTACAGTGGATGTCCCTGCTGTTCTCTTGGCGGATGTATCTGCCATTTCATTCCCCTCAACTCCTATATGGGCTGGCACCCAAACAAAAGTTATATAAGCTCCCGACTGTAACAGACTGTCCGCCAACTGTACTATTTCAAATATATAATATCCTGTCCGGATTCAGACTAGAGGAAAGCCGCTGAGCTAAGTCGGACAACTATATTTAACTAATCTGTTTCTGCACAAAAATAACTAGCTGATTTGATGGTAATATATTTTACACCTATATTTTACCAGTGACGTTTGATATTGAAACAACTTGGCAATCCTGAAAAAACAAATAAACATGAACAAATCTATATGATACAGGAATTGAAGGATGTAAGAAGGAAAGGTTTTATTATTAAACATCAGATTGGGAGAGTGAAAAAAATGACCAATAACAGTGGTTTCATCTCTAAAAGGAGTAGGCCTATAACAGACTTGAAATTTATTTGGTCTCCCTCTCCCCATCTTACAAACATATTTGTGGCATAATCTGGCATTGGGTGTATGTGCGTGTGTGCGTGCGTGTGTATGTATAAAACATATAATGTTATATTTCTTATCCGTCGTTCTTGTGAAATACAAGAAGGGAAGGGGTGAGACGAACGAAAGACGCAGAAAATGCATCGGAACACTTCACACTCCGGTGCCGTTGGGGGCGATATTACATTCAGAATTTTAATTTGAATGGAATTTTAACCCACCAACGAAGTAGGAAGCTTTAGCCAAAATGGCGGCTTCCATGATGAGGTTGATCGTGCCTTTTCAAAGGCCGATGATCTTCAAGGTTCAGGTAATTCACCGGAGCCACATTTAAACATGTATTGAAATATACGTTATGTACACCCTTGTAGTCAAGAAATGTAATTCTAAATTATCTAAGTTATGTATAGCTCTTTAATACATAGTCTTAAAGGTACATAGGTTTTTTAGGTGCATGTATTACGCATGACATATGTATTACAATTCTAATATTCAAATTATATAGTATATTTTGCGTGTGTGAAGTTAAACCCTGCCTTAAACCCTGTACCTCCTAAGATAGGATCTAGGTTTACCATGAGCATGTACTCGGCAAGTCAGTGTTTTTAAGATGGCTGGATATTTTTACACTTATTGTATTTTTCGCATTACATAAATAATACATAATCGTGTATATGTACAATAATGGCATTATATTTTTAAAACATATACATGTATCAGTAAGCATATACCGTTTTGGACCGATGTTTTTTCCCAAAAATTTATATCTAAAAAACTGTGGTTGTCTTATTGGAGTGGAAGATTTTACATGTTAGTACACACATACAACAGTAGATGGCGTAACTTATCCGCGTCCTGGCTATGGTAGCCGTGTACTATAAATGCCATGGGCGGCTTTATGCGCCCCGCCTGGGCAGGATCCCCGAAGCAATCGCTGTCGTTTGTTCTGATCCTACCTACTGTTGGCTGAGATAAATGTGCCTGGGTTACATGTGTGTGGAGTTTGCATGTTCTTCCCATGTTGTTGTGAGGCTTCCCCCCCCCAGTCCAAAGACATGCTGAGGCTGATTGGAGTTACTAAATTGTCCATAGGTATGCCTGTGTGAGTGAATGGTGTGTGAGTGTGCCCTGTGATGGGCTGGCCCCCCATCCTGGGTTGTTCCCTGCCTCGTGCCCATAGCTTCCGGGATAGGCTCTGTACCCCCCGCAAACCAATAGGATAAGCAGTTTGGAAAATGGATGGATGGAAATTGATATGTGTATTTGTTAATGGTGAATGTCATAACTGTGCAGTGTTTGCTGTGTGTTTCATTAGCGTACAGGGGTCTGAATCTCACGCATTGACATCCCATCACCCCTCATGTAACATAATCCAAACGTTTGGTAAAACTTGAGAGCCTTGGCGTGTAACCGCGAGTGTCCTGTATGTTGTTGGCTTTCCTGTCTGACTTGTAGTGATGGGAATAATGGTTTTTCGAAGGGAGCTGGATCTTACGGCTCCGTTCCGGTTCAAATGAATGGCTCCACGTTCTTTTTTGGGGGGAGGTTACTAGGTTTATCTATGAATTAATCACTAGGATAATCGTAGGGTGAGATTTGGGTCAGATTCAGATGATTTTATTTTGCATTTGTGGATTTAGTGTAGCTGTGCTAAATTACTTGTATTGCCAAACCTAATGTCAATGATCTGCGTTGTAAACATTATACAAGGTGACGCCATATCCCCCTGCTCTGTAAATGAATTTACTCTTACCCCTGTGGGAGCAGGGGAGAATATATTATGGCAAGAGCATCTAGTTAAATATCGGCTCTTACTCAAGGTGCATAAATGTAAATGTTTAAAATGTTTAGAAACTCAAATTTTTGTTAATATGAGAGATGGTTTTTGGTCAAATGACTTGTATTTTCTGACATCTCTACATAGATCTCACCATTGAGTATTTTTAATTGATTTGTTATTCAGAAAGCTGTTTATATTTTATAAGATGGATCACAGAAATGTTGGCCTCTTAGTTTTTTATTGTGGAGTTTATGGAAAATGGGCTGATTTCAGATACATCTGCATCATTTTCAAATTGCATAAGCTCTTCCTTTGCTTGTTCACTTCAGATTTCATGACATTTGTTGATTGTGTTTTTTAATCTTTTTGATTGTACTTTCCATAAGTGTAATTTAAGTAATTTTTAAAATTCCATTACAAATGATGAGTTGTTATTATGAATATTTATACATGTCATCATTATAATAGCATGTAATTCTCCCTTGTTTTCCTTCAGTGTGTAGAGACTTTGCTGGACACTACTGGATATTGTCGTCTGCCTACAGTAACCCCACTGCGGACGAAGAAGCGTTACTTCATTCCAAAGATGCATGACACAAAAACACAGAGCAAGGCTGAGCAGGAGGCACAGGCCCGCAGTGCTGGCATGGTGGTCCAGCAGGAATATATGGAGAGAGCCATCAACATTGCCTGCACTGGTAAAGGCAGCACCACAGTATGCAAGCTCAGCGATAGCTTCATGCTGAAATTTCACATATTTCGGATTTTCATGTTATAATAAAAAGTCAAAATCACTTTCCGTTGACACTTGGTTTGAAAGTCTAGACTGTAATGAAGATCCAGTGCTTACTGACGTACAAAAGTTACTTAGATGTTTATCCAAATATGTAATCCTCCACAGGCTTTCAGAAATCAGGTTTTCTGTGCCAGATTGTGTGAGCATGTTTTTTTTGCATTTTAAACATTGTCTCAGGGGCTGCATGGTGGTGGATGTATGGGGGCATTATATGGGGGCCAAAATGGAACTGATTACATTTTGAGACAGATGAACCTAAAATTGAAGCACTGCTGCATCATGATACCCAAATACACTGCAGTTTTGACACTTGAACTCAAGACCTGTTATACTGATCTTTTTCAGACTTTGCAGAGGGATTGTATTGCGGACATGGAAGTGATTAAATTTTGAGAAGGATTAAACGGGTTGTCACTATGATAACTGTACTTCTAGAAATTGTACCAAAAGTTGGTTAATGTAGGATGAATACACATTAGATGGGCAGACCAAATGACAGAACTGTCCAGGGAACACAATGCTGTCATTTCCTACAGAACCAAATCTAGTTAAATCACTTGTGTTGTATAAACTTGTTTTTTCACCTCCTAGTGATAGTTTAGCAGAGCAGAGTTCGTAGTCCACTATGCTTTGGATTTTGTCCTTCGTTTTGGAGTACTTCCACGCCACAGATACTTAGTAGTTCCATTTATTTTTCTTATTAATGATATCACTGATATGTCATTACTGGGTATTGGTTATAGGCATTGGTGCATTGTCACGAGGATGAGTACATAAGCAGGGAATCGATGCACCCCCAATAAACCATGCATTTTTTTTTACCCAACAGAGCCCCTAAGGGGACATGGACTCGCATTTCTGTTAATAAGTGGACAAAGGATAGAATTAATAGAATAAAATTAAATGACATAGATATGCCCTATGAAGTGGGCTTAAAGCATTAAACTATGGGGGACAATGCATACCATTTAACTTTCAGATTATGTATGTATAGTATTTGTTATTAATTGCACAAAGTTTTTTCAGATAATGGAAAAGTATTGTAAGATCTCACAAAAGGACTCCTTGATGTTTTTTCTCCTGCCATGACTGTGTACTACCCAGATACATTGTCTTTGACTGGCTAAGACATACACAGTACTGTATATTTGGAAGGTGACACCTCCACTTGTTAAGCATTTTCCGTGCTGTGACCAACTCTGAGTGTCTGAAACATTTTACTTGTTTTTCACTGCATGCTCACAAGTGGGACATTCATCATATAGAGCAAATGGTGATGTGCAACATGTACAGCAAAATGTTGACTTTCCTAAATTCCAGTTATTTGTTTTGAATTCTTTCTCCTTTTTAGCTGGAATATTTGATCCTTACATTCCGCCAGAAGGTGATGCGCGTCTTTCGAAGCTTTCCAAAGAAGGACTGAAGCAGCGCACAGAGCAGCTTAGGCAAAGTGCCGCTTCACATTTAGCGTAAGCATTTCTCTTTCTGTTGTTGCTGACTTGCACTGTGTTTCTTGCATTTAAAATCTTGCATTTTACAGAGGCTATAACGGGACCTTGATTTAATTAGCGACTGGGCTGATACCTGGCAGGTGAAACTTAATGTAGATAAATGTAAAGTAATCCATGCAGGGAGCAGAAATATAAAGTACAGATATTTTATGGGTCCCACTGAAATAAAGGTAGCTGATTATGAGAAAGACCTCGGTGTGTATGTTGATGCTTCCATGACCCATTCTTGCTAGTGTGGGGAAGCAATAAAAAGGCCAATAGGATGTTGAGTTACATCTTTAGGTGTGTGGAGTTTAAGTCAAGGGAGGTGATGCTACGATTATACAATTTCTTAGTAAGACCCCACCTAGAATATTATAAATATAATTGTTAGTGACAGCCTTGCTCTCAACCCAGCTGCCTATTGTGGTAATTGCAATGTAACAATTTTTTGTGCATAGCATACAGTGTCAATGTTAACGGTTCACATTGTGCAGGCTTCGTTGCAGCAGTGAAATGTGAAGTTGTCTAAATTTTTAAACTATTAAACTCCAAAAGCATACATACTAGTCAGGAGTGTTAAGTTTAAGTTATGATGAATTGTGATAGTATGTAAATTTGGTGTATTTTCTGCTCCTTTTCAGCTTTTGTAGACAACATTTCCTTGGTTTCCATCATTTCTCCAGTGTCCTGAATATTTCCACAAAGATAAAGCTGTATTTTTTCCCCTTCTTCCGTAGGATTCGGAAAATTAAGGAGCATGATCCACAGTTTAATACGAAGGACTTCCCAAATAAAGCCCTGGAGATCTTTATCGAGGCTCACTCTGCACTTACACAGTAAGTCCATGCTTCCTAAACATTACTGTGTGTGACTGCGACAGACCATGTTTGCCTGGTGTTTTGAGTATTTGGGGGGGGAAGCAATGGACTGTCGAGGTCAGCTGATAGTTCCAATTAATGGATTGGATCAATGGATACCCCCACACACACTTGGCAAATTTTTCTCACCACCAGTATGTATTTGATGAATACTCAGTGTAGATGGCTTTTGTTTCATTTTTGCCTGCACTGCAGTGCAGTTTACTTTTTAAAGAGGGGTATCCTTTTGGATACTGGTACAGTTTAGTAATGGTGAGTCTGGGTTATATCCCTAAAACTCAGATCTCATTTTGGCACAATGGAGTACTTTTGGTGACACATGTTACAGGGAAATGAATTTTTTTATATTTTATTTGGTTGGTGTTTTGCCTTTCATTATTCATTTGCCCAACAAAATAGCTTTTAACAATCTTCCCATTAATTCAATTTAAGCTAGCTTAAACCAAATATTCTTTGTACATGTTAATTGACACTGTGAGGGCACTAAATTCAGTTAACTTCAAGGTAAAGTGCATTGTCGTTTTAGTTCTGCTTGTTCACATAAAATGGACCAGCAGAAAGAAATGAAGCAGTCGAGAGCAACTTTTTCCTGTTCACACTGTTGAACTTCAGTCATCAGCTCTGAATGGCCCAGTGACATTGTTGCCTACAATCCCTGCCCAGATCATGATCTTACCCTGTGTTTCGTTTTAGGTTTAACAAGGAGAAGCTACATAAGCTGGTGACTGAGAGGTGTTATCCTGTAAGTCACACACACACACAGTGGTACCTCGGTTCTCGAACTTAATCCGTCCCGGACTCCGGATCGAATCCTAAAAAGTTCGAGTTCTGATCGAATTTTTACTATAAGAAATAATGGAAAACCAATTAATTGGTTCCCGGCCGCAAAACAAGAGCAGCATTTTTTTCTTAATGGCTTCCAAAACGATAAAGATCTTATCCCAACATTACCCCTGTCCTGCCCCGATCGTCCGCTCCTTCCGTGTGCCAAGCCCCCTCGTTAACCTCGTGTGGGATCCCCATGTGATCAGCTGTTTCTGGTTGTTGTCATTAGTCCTCTGTATTCAGCCAGCGCTGTAAGCAAGTCGAATGCACCCAATGACCGGACTGGGGAAACAAACTGAAATGCGGACTTAAAGCAACGCATTCTGATCCTGACGCAATGAATTACGGTTAGATGCATTGCGACCTCTCACCCGGCTGCACAAACTGGAACCGCCTCCGTGACAACATACCTTTGCCCTTATTGGCTGAAGAGTTTAGTTACACGCATGACGTTTGTATCCCAGGCAGTTTTGATGCGAAATCTGCTATTTCTCCCGAATATCACATAAAGCAGTGACAATGGTTTTCAGTTAATTTACCTGGTAAAATAAAGTTTAAATAAATGACATAAATGCTCTAATAGTACACGTAATTTAGTGGTTTATTTATTGTAATTTACTGTAATGTTGCGCTGCTTTATTTGGTTAATTGTCCAGTCTGTGAAGAAGGCATTCAAGTAAGAATTGCATTGTAGTATGACATTTCCTGGCGCGTACAATTTATATTAGATCAGCGTTCACGGTTCGACTTCTGATATTCAGATCGAGTTCTAGGTCAAACTGGTTTGTTTGACTTTCAAGAAATTCGAGTTCTAGTGAGTTCGAGAACCGAGGTACCACTGTATATATAATATTTTTTTGTGTATTGTTTTCAAGAATATTTTTAATAATCTCCGACTGCAAGGCAAACACCACAGGACATTAACATTCATTTATATAGATAAATGTATACTTAAAATTTGTATTCCCTATTAAATACATTATTAAAAACTTTTACTTTAAAAGTGGTCTGGATGATTGTATTAGCAGTGGAGGAATCAAGCATATTTCGGTACCTGCTGTGCACGGAAAACCTGAATTGACACTGCTGGTGTGTTTGGCTCCACAGGAGATGGTGAGGGGCAATCGCTACAGGACTCTACGCTGGAGCTTCTTAGAGTCCCTCGAGCCGCCTCGCGTAGTGCATGCCCGCTGCCCAGATATGGTCAGCAAAGGCAACCTCTACGGACAGGTCACACTCCGGTTACACTCTCGGCAGGTGAGCAGCTGATTGGCTCATCTTTAATGATTTTGTCAGTGTCATATTTTAATTCGTGGAACACCCTGCCTGAAAAGAAATGCATGTAGCTGAAAATGCTGAGTATATAAAGTTTAAATGACCGTCTCCGTAAGAAGCAGTTTGTTGAGGGGATGTTGAGGACAGGAATAGAATAAATAATTGCCTACTTACCTAACTTACTGTGTTGATCCAAATGTAAGATGGGTTTTTTTTTTTTCCCTCACCAAAATATATATCAAAAAGTAATGTTGTCTTACATTTGTGGTCTAGACAAAAATGGGAATAGATGGCGTCAAATAGGGTATTTTGTAATGAACGTTTTGACTTATTGTAATATGTTAATGTGTTTTTGCCGTAAGATTTCGCACATGAGCGTGAGAGTCTGAGTGTCACGCCAGATGCGTGACAGCTGCCAGTTCTGGCAATGAGTGTGTTTGGCCTGTATCCCTGAATGTTGTTAATTGTTGGCTTCCCTGGCTGTGCCACTGCTAGTATTAAACAGATAGTGGCTCTTAATACAGATAGTAACATTCTTTATCTACCCCCCCCCCCCCCAATAATAGAGTGGGGGTTTTTCTTATAATGGGGCTCATCTTATATGGGCCAATATGGTATATGAAATAGTTAACATGACATTAGTTATTTCATTTTTACATATACTGGTTAAACTGGTTAAAACCACCAAATGCATACTTAAGCTCTGCTGTTCAAGTACGCTGTGTGCTTGGTTTTGAATAATGGTTTTAATTTTAGTTTCAGAACTTTTTCTGTTGAGTGACTGATAAATGCTGCATTAACCTTTGGGTATAAATGTCCGTCATGTTCCCCTGTGACCTAAATCTTCATTTTGTAATGCATTCTAAATGAACCCCCTCACATAATCACTGCTTTCCTGTTATCTATCAGACAGTGGCCATCTATGACCGATTCGGGCGTCTGATGCTGGGGAATGAAGATGAGCCACGGGATGTCCTGGAGTACGTGGTTTTGGAGAGGCATCTGATAAACCCCTACGGCTGCTGGAGGCTTCATGGAAAGATCATCCCAGCCTGGGCTCCTCCTAAGGAGCCTGTTATCAAGGTGAAACATTTTTCTATTTGTAAAACATTGGAATGCCGCATGACTGTATAAAGAAAGCTTGTGTCATTCCTTGGTGCAGAGTAACCAGTAACCTCATTGGTCTCGTCTCTCTTTTTGTTCAGACTGTCATGATTCCTGGCCCACAGCTGAAGCCATGGGAGGAGTTTGAGAGCCTCTGTTATGAAGTGCCCAAGCCCAGATCTGTGCAGTGGCACCAATAGCTCCTTTGCTAGCCACTGTAGAATAAAAGTCTTTCTCCAAAAGTGTCAGAAAGTGAATTTCTATTATGTGCTTTTCTACCAAAATTCTGCTGTTAGAACAGTTGTGTTGTTAAAATCAAGAACTGAATGCAGCTTTGCTAGATCAGTCTTTCTAGTATTTCAACATCAGCTGAAGCAGGGTGAAGCAAATAATCCAGTTTTTGTGGGGAGTAGTGACCCTTTTTTGAAGGTCTATTGCTAAGCAAATTAGGACACTGTGCCTGTGATCAGAAAGTTGCCAGGTCAGATCCCAGGATTGGCAGAGTGATGTCACTGTTGTACTCCTGACAAGACCCTTAAGCCCAATCACTCCAGGCGATGTCTGACCCTGCTTTCTCACTTGTGTGTTGCTTTGGATATAAGTGTCTAAATAAATAAAATGTAAAAATACTGAAATTGTAGTAAGAAATCCATGATCCAGCTTATTAGGTAGTCCTGCTTCTTCATAGCTCAAGGGATGTGGGTTAAATTTGTATCTCCGCTCTGGATTTTACATGTTTGACCTGCATTGTGAAGGTCTTCTTCCGCAGTGCAGTGATGTGCAGATAGTAGGTGTCTAAATTCCCTGTATTGTGTGAGTATGACTGCATTGGTTATCTTAGGTGGCATCTATGAATTGCGTCTAGTGTGTAGCCTGTGATGGATCGGCATCACGTGCTAGCTGGGATAGGCTACAGACCTCCGTATGACAAACTATTATTACATTATTAAATACTATGTTCAGTTAGTAAATTATTAAAGGTACAGTAGCACTTTCTATGAATACCATGTCTATAAAAATTATGATCACATTTGTAATCACATTTATAGATTAAAGTTCCATTGAAACAAAGTATTATAATCAGCAATATAATGTCATGACTGTCAATAGAAGATGCTGAAAAGAAGATGAAAGCTTTAAGTGTTGCCAAAGGTACTTCTGTTTTGCATATGTAATACAAAATATTGGGGGCAAATCATTTAATAGAGGTTTAAATTAAAATTGTAACCATGCAGCTACAAAGGTGCTTTGTTTATTTAAAAAAAATGGGTTTCATTCTTTTATCCTTAGGATAATTAAAAATATTACAAGAATATTAAAATATTTGATTATATTTCCTGTAACTGCAGAAAAACTGCATACAAAACAATGTGATACGAGTCAGCTCAGTAAAATACATTTATTCACAGTAAAAGTTGAAATGCTTTAACAACTGCTTTTCACTTTTCATTAAAAGTATTTAAAATTTCATTTTACAGCCAACTGATTACTTCTCCACAAAGTACAAAATACAAAGAAAAAAGATTAGTCATTTTTAAAATAAGTGCTTCCAAATATGTCTTGAATACAAAACATCTGAAAACTATGCATAGTCTAAATTAGTAACAAGCTTAAAAATTAATTTTTCAGCATTATATTTCCTTTGACAGCGGTGGCAGAATCCAGAACTGTACTTAAACTACATTCAAATAAATTTGTCACTTCTGGGACATTCATGACATTTGACAACCAGTGCTTGGAGGACACTGTCCATAACCAGGGGCAGAGTTAGGGTGTAGCTTTCTTGTTTATTGGTGATACAGGTAATGTGCCAAGTTATTTATGAAGTTGTGTTCCGTGGAAAATCAAATTGGTAACAGTACAATGAAACTTATAATGCCTTTGCATTATGATGCTTTTGAGAAATTCCGTGTGGGGTCAATTCTCCCACGGTCTTAAGTCAGAAAGCACATATCTGTGTGCATTTTTCACTGAAGGGTATTCTCCCATCGACTTTAATCTGGGGTTTACACACAGTGGACGGAGAAACACCAAAATATGAGCGTGTCACATTTCAGTGATCATTAATAATATAATATAATGGGAATATAATAATGCCAATTGTTCAGCACAAAATTCAAACACCGTATTTTGATTTTGTCAAAGGAGTCTCATGGTTGCGAGAATAAACAAAAAAAAAGCATAGTAGTCTACTGCGATGTTTTCGTTTTCATAATAAAATGGTTTCAGCGGATTTCAGTTAGGTTCACAATGTAAATAAAAGAGTGCATGTTGCACATCTTGATTGTTGGCCAAAACATTGAGGGGGTAAACCCCCCCTTTAATTATACTTCTTGCACGGCCGCTCCTTCTTTCTGAGGTTAAGTGCGGTGGGTGCATAACTTAATATCGTGTAACTTATTAAGCATTTTTTTAAATTAAGTGTCCGATAGACGTCCTTGCTGGGATTTCCAACATCCTGCTGAAAAATATTTATAATATACAGTCTTTTAATTAAAAAGTCAAACACTGAATGCAACACCTGTAACTTAAAATTAAATGAATAAATTTATGTAATCAGTTCGTATAAAGACACTGCTGAGGAAATGTGACATAGTTTGTACTTGCAAATGTTTTAGCCAAAGGGTGGGTGGATTGTAACCTGTCAAGGTTATAGCTTTACGTTAAGCTAATTCACAAGTCTGGATTCTGCCACAAGGTTATACCACCAATGGAAGAATAGTAATGAAATATGCTGAAATATCACCTAAAGTTATCCAACTTGCAACGCATATACAGTGTCTATGTATGTAAATTCCCACATACAATTTCAAAATACAATTAATGAAAATGTCTGCACATATATAAAATAAAAAATGGGCCATACTGCCCCAGTGCAACTTAGATTAAGTACTTCTTCAAGATCCAGCTCATTCCTTCACACTATAAATTTCTTTGTATATATTTTTTGTTAGTGCCAATTACAGTGGATTTATCACACAATGTTTCTGAAGTATTGAAATAAAACTTTCGGATGGTGTTCCTAAAACCATGCTTAGTTGTACTGTCACATCGATGACTAGTATGCAGATCAGGTTCTGATGAATCTAAGAAGCAGAGGATGGTCCACATGCCCAACACACTGATACTTTGGGGCAATGAATTTTCAGTCACAGATGGATACGGTTGCCTCCATTTGATATTGTACAGCAATGATAAAACTAACAGCACTACAAAACATCTAAGAAATGGACAGATTGTGAGTGCAATACACAGATTAACTCATCTTGTAATCAGAGTGAATTAGTTTATACAGGACCTGTGTGAAAGAGCTAAACATGTTTGAACAATGAAAAATATAAGCAGCACAATGTGGCGTCGAAGAAAGAAAGTTACAATTACAAAAGTTGTGCATCCAAAGTAATATGATACAAGCAAAACAGTGTTTCAAATACACAATCTATCCTGAAACATAAGACTATATCTTAAAACGCACATTTCATAAGCTAAAAAGTGATTTTGTTAAAAAAATATGCAGCAGCTATCTTAAATATAGCTATATTCTCTTCGGTATTAACAAATATTATTGTAAATGTAAATATTCACAATTACCAAAAAGCAGTATTGAGACTGAACTGAAGTACCTAAGGAAAAGGGCTCAAATTATTTCCTCTATGCACATTATTAAATTCTAAATGAAAAGAGCACAATTCTTATTACCTACCACATACATATTTCATAAAGGCATTAACTAAGTACAAGACAGCATGAAGCGTGTGATGCTATGAGTTATTAGGTGTTTCTGTACATAAAATTTATTTTGTAAAATATGAAATGGGAAACTGTGCTAAATACTATGTGATCATTTTAATTACATTTCCAATTTAAAATCAATGCCCTATAACAATCTAACAATTAGAACAATTTATTTGGATGTTTTTGTTGTAAAAAAAATCCCATTAACCTCATTCTGGTGGCCATTTAAGTCATAAATGAAAAATACAAACCATAAAGGATTAGCCAACTGAAGAAAACTGTATATTGAATCTGGTCACTTTAGAAAGAATATTTGTGAACTGTGGTCTCCTGTATCTATTTTTTAATTTATGACACTTCATTTTTTATATGAATTAGTGTCATGGTCTCTAATGTTTTTGGAGTCTGTTTACGCATATCATTTATTTTAGCTCTAATTGCGTTGCTGCATCTGAATTATTATTAATTTGTGGTGTCCTGGTTTGTTGTCTTTTTTTCATTTAAATTAAGAATCCGTTTCACCGTCCAACAGATAATCTCTATCAAAATACCTTCAATTACCTGTGTAGTTATGGTTTTATTCATTATTCATAATATCACATAAAAACAACTAAAATGTGTTTAATTCACATATATTTAGAGATAGCGAGGTCATTCAGAATAAATCATTTACAATTCACACTGTCAACAAAAAACAATGAAGTAGTAATTCAAAATAAACATGCAATTGCTTACATTGCTTGTTTGAGTTTGTGAATAAAATATCAAAGTAATATATTGTTATTCAGATAACTTTGTGCACTGGCAGGAAAAAGTACTTTGGTACATTTTGGTAAATTTTATGCTTCAAGTATTAAATATTGCTGTCATACTGATACAAATTATCATTTAAATGAAATTGTACAGGCTATGTTTAAGAGTTTTTATGAGAAATAAAATAAATACAACTAAAAACAGCTTACCCTATATCTTTGCTTTAGAAATCTCACAAAAATATCAATCAATATCAACATATTATATATGTTGTTGAAATGATTCATTGAGTGCAGGCTGAAATGGCCACTGTGCCAAGCTAAATTAACTGCACAAACAACATAAAGTCTGATGCTTGAAATTGAATTTGTCAGCTATATCCAAATAGAAAAGCTAGTTCCTAGAAACAGTTCCAAATCTGAAAACGAAAAAAAAAAACAAAAAGTTAAAAAATAAAAATGTTTTAAAAACTTGGAAACTAATGGCAGAGAGATGACCTTAAAGTGCCTTTAAATTTTCACCTAAGTAAACATACACTTTGAGGGAATGTATGGTTATTTATTAACATTGGATGTACACAATGCACTGCATTAATGGGCCTCCCCAGTACCGAAATATTTTGATGGGGGCAATGTTTGTGGGTATATCCTATTCTGTGTATATGGGCTTTTTTGTAGGACGGCCAGAAAAGGCAACATGTACCCCAAAGCCAAATAAATATCAGTCTTCTAAAATAAATCAAGTACTGATTTTCCTATTATAGCTACCTACCTTGGTCAGTCATCTCCCGTAGATTTTGGTATAATTACCTAAGACAAAAATACCTGTATTAATTTATGTACATTTATAATGTGTAACTGTCTGATTTTACTCATTTTTGCAAACTTTGTAGATAAGCTAGTTAACTATTATTGTCATAGTAGCTCTATTTAAATTCATAATTACTGAACTTATTGTTCATCTCCTTAGTAGCTTTATTATATAAGTTTTATTAATATATTTTTCCTATAAGTACATGGTAACATGATGTATCGTATGGTATTTTACATCATAAAATGGAGGATTACTAATAATTACTAGTCATTGTGAAACTGTGAGTTCTAGGACTAAGACTGCTTGTTCTGTTTATCTGTATTTTAAGCTGCAGGAATCTTGTGAAATCATATGAAAATGAATATTTGCTTAAAATATTTTTTTAAAGCTGGGGTGAATTAAATGTAATTTAGTCATTGTAAGCAGTATCCTCAGGCCGGTCAGTCCTATAGTTGACATAGGCAACTGTCTCGGGTCCTAATCTCTGAGAGGGTGCTGACTTAGCCGGCTCACTTGGTGTGCTCACGCCCCTGCAGTGCTGGCGGAGAATGCAATGCAAGGCACCTCTAGAGGTACTGGAGCCTTCTGAAATGCCAGTACAAAACACCTATGTGATGTAAAGTGCCCCATAAGTATTTGTAACCTCCAAATTGCCAGAGCTAAACAGCTACGCAATGTAGGGTGCCCCTAGAATCACTGGTACCTTATGAAGTGGCAGCACACAAAGGTTACGTGACGCAGGACGCCCCTAAAACGGGGTTTCCCAACCCGGTCCTCAGGGACCCACACACAGTCCACGTTTTTGCTCCCTCCTAAGCTCCCTGTAGCAAAAATATGGACTTCCTGGAAGGGAGCTCAGAAGGAGTAAAAACGTGGACCAGCTGTGGGTCCCCGCGCACTGGATTGGGAGACACTGCCCTAAAAGTATTTGTGACTTCTGCACTATTGCGAGCCAAAGTGAAATTGGCCGGATAAGTTCATTTATGGCACCGCATGGGCCAGGACTGATCCAAATTTGATGCTGACCATTTTATTTAACTATAATAACAATCGAACAAAAGTTACAATAGTATTAAATGCACTTGAAACTGCACAAGTTGTTTTTTTACAAAATGGGAAGCATACTACCATATGATGTACTTTCTCATGCATCACCTGTGGTACAGATCGCATTTTTAGCAGAATTACGCACTACACTCCCTACTGAACACAAGGAGACCATGCTACACACATGCAACTTAACCCCATGAACGCATACTTCTGTCTAGTATGATAGTCCTGCCTTTCCAGGTTATGCAGACTGCTTTAGCACATAATGTACGATTCTGCAGAAACTAACGTTATTTAGCTTATTATTTAGATTATTATAATAATAATCATTATTATTATTTTTAATAATAATACTTTTGGAGTCCATAGCTGTAGAAGAGCCTGTTGCTTCACTAACAATTCTGTGCATGTTAATTAAATAGGATATTTTTTATATCAAAGGATATATTGTGATGACGTAGGATTTTACCAAGCAGAGTAAAGCCTTCATAGTCATGGATGCGTTTTAGCAGTTTGATGTGTTCAACTCAGCCTGGCAACAAGTTACCAAAAAGTAGCATTAAAAAAGAAATTGTGAGATCATTACAAAATTTACACTACATTTATAATCCACTGAGTCACCTACCAGCACGGAGAATAAAACACTTTTTTTCTCTTTTATCTCAAGGCAATAATTAGTATTAGTATACTATACAATAAAATGATTTTTCTTTTTTAGAAATGTTTCTGGAAGTTCACCCCAGATGCTTGATTTACTTCTCTAGGCTTATGTGGGTCAAACACAGCAAAGAGATGATGGTTATGGAACCAGAGCATGGATGTCAGAGTCATTACATTTCTGCAGATACAAGTACAGTCCAAACTTCACGATATATTTTTTTTTCATCTGATTTGATATGGCCATTATTTATAATACATGTTCATAAAATGACGTCTTCTAAAAAAAACTCATGCTCATCTCGGTGAATAAATCACGAATAAATGACTACAGGGTGACTTTAAAATTCATTTTTTTTTAGATGCTGAAATGGTTTAACTAATTTGTTAAAAACCTACATGAGCACTTTAGTTATAAAAATGTGTGTTTATGGAGTGGCCTATAAGAACACAAACGAGGAAGCTTGGCTGATTTTTGATTTTTAAAAAACTAAATAAAATTTAATAATTAAATAAGTATCAGTGGAACAAAATCCCGGCAATTTTACTGCTAAATGCAAAATTTTTGATGGATATGGTATAATATGTGATCTCCCATCAAGCATTATGTCTGGATGTCATAAAACAATCAGCCACTCGCTTTTACAGAAATTACAAAAATATTTGCATTTTTCTTATCTTTATCTTTTCTTTATTTCTTTAAATTAATCATCATTAATAATGGTAAAGCCAAAGAATCATAACCCATAAAAATGTATTTACTCTGGTCTGATAGTAACTGCTGGTTAGATTTTGTCCCTTTTTGTCCCTTGATTCATTACTCAAAAGGAAAATGCTTTTTTTTCCCTAAAAACTGTATGACAACGTGTACCATTTATTTCCATTTTCTGAAACAATACTTTCTAAATCAGAACATAATTTTTATATCAGTTCATAGGTACAGTTTGTAGAATCAGTCTATTACCTACGCCTGACTTCGCAGTAATAATATGTTACTTTAATTACAATACACTTGTATACACTTCATTGTCATTTGGTTTCAGTTTTTTCTGTAATGAAAAATATTCCGTATTAAACATCATAATCATATACTTCATAAAATAACTTAATTGTACCTCTATGTACACCGCATGATAATGCTTCAGGGGGCGACACTTTCACTTCATAAAAAACAGTTTGAGAAACTGAAATATACTATGCAACTTATGAACAGAAAACATGAACTGTGAAACAAGTACAAGCCACAATTGTTACTTCAATAGTCAGGACGCCAAACACATCAAGTTGTGGCAGCACTACACAAACTGACAGAACGCAAACATTCTCTGGGCTAAAAACCCCAACAGATAATCCATCCATCCATTTTCCAAACCACTTATCCTTCTGGGTCACAGGGGGTCTGGATCCCAGGACAGGGGGCCAGCCCATTGGAGGGCACACATACACACACACACACACACACACACCCCTATGGGCAATTTAGTAACTCCAATTAGCCTCAGCATGTCTTTGGACTGTGGGGGGGAAAGAGTACCTGGAAGAAACCCCATGACGACACACACATGTAACCCAGGCAGAAACTTGAACCCTGGTCCCAGAGGTGTGAGGAAACAGTGCTAACCACTGCACCACCATGCTGCCCAAGATATAAATCAAAGGCAGAAAAGTTAGGAGATTGGAGAAGCTTATTTTTAACCCTATATTTTTAGAGCAAAGGTAAACCCCCTATATTTATATTTGACAATTTCTACTAAATACTTTATTATATTTATTCTTATAATAATATATGCCACTTTCATCTAAACTATAAAACCTTGCAATAAAAACAAATTCTTCAAATGATTATTTTTGCTTGGTTCAGAGGGGATTTTTATTAATTAGCTTTAAGACGCTTTACTGGAAAGAGACCTGTTGGTTTTGTAAGCTCAATACTGGAATCATTCTTTTTTGATCTGGTCTTGGATGCTTTTTACATTTTAATTTAATTGAGCCTTAAATTGACAAACTACACATATCACTGCCATGAGCCAAACTTAATTAAAAAGTGTCTAATTAGTCACTAGTACATATGAGTCCACTTAACTATACTGGAAAGAAGGAACTGAACCTTGAAGTAATATTTTCCAACTACATATCATATTATTTGTTTAGTCTGTGGTGCTGTAAGAATCCATAAAAAAGGAAGTCATGGAAAGGTGAAGTATACTTCAGTGAGTTTGTGTCTGTATGAGCGAGACAAATACCACGAGAAAGATTGAAAAGCAGTACTCTTGATTAGGTTGGATCCAAGGCGTGAGTACATGCTGTCCATGTTCTCTAATATTTGTGTAATGTGGATGGATTTGTTACTAACAATAATTGAGATATTATGCTAAAACCATAAAAAAATACTAACCAAAGCCAAGATTTCTAGTACTGATCAATGCCAATTCTTGCTTAGTGTACCCCATCCACAAAACCAGATAAGTTAATCTGTATACTGCCAAATAAAAACTGGTGCTGTACATTGAGCTTTGAGCAGAGTATATTCAGCACCTGCTGCTAACTGTACATCTCAGTGACACCCCCCCCCACCCCCCTCCTGGCTGCAGTTGCTCTTCTGCTCCAATTGCTGTCAGTTCTTCTCCCCACCCTTATCTCCCCCTGACTAAAGACACAAATAAATGCACATAAAAAACATTGAATTTTGTGTCTACCAGTAGCAAACATATGTACAATCTATCTTCCTAAAAAGATTATGTATATTGATTAGCAGTCATGAGTCGGTAGATTAACATTATGCTGGTATTTTTAAAATTCATTATTTGGGTTAAAGATTCTGTTTAGGTACTATATGTTTCCATCACTCTGAAGTATGGCAATAATAAACTTAATAATAAATAAATAATAATAAGCCTGTCAATAAAATACATTTCAAAATTTCATATTTGAAAACTATCGATGAATATGCTTTCGAAATACAAAGTCATTCTCACACCTACATTCCTCATACCTACCCCAGATTTGTGCTGTGTGTTGTCCTGTAGATTGAAGAAAGGGTTTCCTTGGCTTCCCTGCAGTGAGGACGTTGTTGCCAGCTGGTTGACCATAGGGTTGGAAGGCGAGGAGGTGAAGGAGCTGGCCAGTGTAAAATGCTGCAGTTCTCGTCTCTGCTGCTGAATCATCTGGTAAACGACAACCTGTTGCTCCTGAGTAGAAGACACAGATTGATGGGGGGGGGAGGGGGGGTTCAGCAGGAAGAGTAGAGAGAAGGCAAAATGGGAAGTGTAAGTAGAAGGATAGAAACAAAAGGCTTTTGGCACAACAACAACATATTACCCTAGCCCCAGTACATTAGGCTTGAGTGGTATATGGTACGTGGTTTATGGCAGGATTCAGCGCTGAATCCTGCCAATTGTTTACTGGACTGCTACTGATAAACTTTGCCGAGCAGCAAAATTTGCCGATATAATTTGCTGAGGGTCTGGCGGTGCAAAAAAATATAAATGTCATTTTAGAATATTCAAAAATCATTTAGCACCCCACAGTTTGAGAACCTGTACAATGTTCCTGAGAAGTGAAAAAAAGATTTACTGTGTTTACAAGATGGCTTCTGCAACCCCCTTTCCATCCTCAGCTGCCACCTAGCACTGCTGCTTCAGTTTCTGGGGTAATTTGTCTAGGTGTAGACTTTCATCCATATAACGGTTTTGTGAAGTGGCAATAAGGACTAAGATCAGACAAAGTAAAGAGAGTAATAAGATCAAATTCACAAGGTCAGTAACCCTTCCCTTTGCTGCCACTAAGGAGTGTTGCTTCAATCTTGGTATGACTTGTCTCAAAATTTGATCAGGTCCATAACTTCATCCATACATTATGTTGGAAAAGGTTGAAAAGGATCCGTCAAATAATTTTTGAGTTATCATGTTGACAAGTTTAAGTCTCTGAGCTTCCCTTCCCTTTGTTATTATTATGTGGCTCTGCTTCGATTTTTGTGCAATTTGTCTCAAAATTTGATTAGGTCCAGAATGTCACCCTTAAAATGTGCCTGCAAATGGTAGAAAAAGATTTGTCAAATACTATTTGAGTTATCGGCAGTATCCAGATCAAGTGTTTGAGGCTGCCCTTCTGTTTGATGTGACTATGGGGCACTGTTTTCTTTTTATTGTGAAAAATGTTAGTACTTCGATATATCATTCACAAGGTCAAAAGCAGCCTTTCCTTTGCTGTCACTAAGTGGTGTTGCTTTGTGTGGTTTGTCTTAAAACATGAGCAATTCCGGTTGTTCACCCATAAAATGTATCTGCAAAGTTTGAAAAAGAGTTGTTGCACTAATGGGATCAATTGTCTGAAACTGTCATTTTCTTTGTTTTAACTATGTGGCACTACTTCAGTTTTGGTGTGAACTGTCTCAAAATTTGATCAGTTCCAGTTCATCACCCAGGCAATGCACAATCTTTCCAATTTAAAAAAGAGCTGTCATAAATTTTGAGTTGTCATACTAAAGAGAAAATCTTTGTAGCAGTGGTGGACTGGTTCAATGAAGTTCAATGAAGGGTAAATTGCTTTGGTTAATGAAATGGACTGTTATGAACATTACGGGAGTGAAGTGCTGGGAATGCAGCAGCTGCTGGAGCTGGTGCTGCTGCTGGAGAAGGAACTGCTTCTGCTGTTCTGAGAGTAGGGAAGACCTGCACCATAATGAATCATAAATTACTGCATACAGTAGCGAATACATGCAGATAACACTGTTGATATGCAAGTAGGGTATCACAACACAATAACATTACTGTTATATAAAATATGCATGCAAATGGCAGTTCCAGAACATACAGCACATTTTCATCTAAGCATAAAATGAAAGAGATTTACAACACACACAGGAAAATTGCCTTTCTTTTTCCTTAAAGGACTTTCCCTTATTTACGTTAATTCTACATTATTAAACTTATGATACCCAAAAAGTTTTCCTGAAAGAAATACAATCTCAGAAATACCAATTAAACTCCTTTCACTACCCCTACATCACAAAAATACTCCATACTCTACACCAGGGCTATTCAACTGCTCTACACACTGGTGTTATTAGTATTTATTAGTTACACAATGATATTATTAGTTATTTTATTTGAAAGGGGAACTCACGAAGTCAGGCTGTTAGGGATCTGCAAACTCTGAGACAGTGTCTGTTGATGAGATGGTTGTTGCGTGGGTACGGAGAGCTGAGGCTGCTGGGTAGCATTTTGGTTAGGAGACTGAATCACCCCGTTTAGGCTACCCAGCATGCCATTCATGGACAGCTGTGGACTTCCAGTCAGACTAGACATTAACCCACTGACCATCGGAAGGGTGGTATTACCAGCTTGACTCATGCTTCCCAGCCCTCCAGTAAGTGCCCTCCCCAGCCCATTTACAAACTGCTGACTAAGGGAGGCAGGGCTCTGCTGAGGGGGCGGAGTGCTCTGAAATGAAAGGGAGGAGCTACTTCTTGATGGACAGCCAGAGGGGAGCTCCTGAAAGACAGATTACACAAGGCGCTATATCACGAAACCCCAGACATTGGCATCCAACTGAAGCACATAACTGAGGTGAGACACTTACGGGCAGGGATGCACATAACTGATGCATGAATATGCATTTGCCTGATAATTTTATAGGCAATTTCTTGTCATAACAGTAACCTTTATAGCCTTTATACCAGGGCTATTCAAATCACGTTCCTCAGGGGCCGCGCACTGCTGTTTTTCCATCTTTCCTTTACCTGAGAGTCAGTTGTGAAGCCTCTGGCCAATTGGAGCCAGACATTATTAAGCTAACTACCTGGGAGACTTGAAAACAAGGCCTGGATTTGGAATCGAGGGCCAGATTTGAATAGGGGGGCTTTATACCATGGAAGAAGTACGCATTTAGCCATGTAAAAGTTAAAATACATGGTAATTTCATGTCATACTGGCAGAAACGCATATAAAATAAGTACAGATCTGTGCTGTTATGACAAAAAATTGCCGCATGTATCATTTTAAAAAGCAAAAATTTGTATTTATGAACCAGTTCTGTGCATGCCTGCTTACAAGTAAATTTCAGTTCCTTCCCTGTAAATCACAATTTACACAATATGGACAAAGTATTGGGACACCTGCCCATTACACCCATAGGAACTTTTATGACATCACATTCTAAATCCATAGGCATCACTATGGAGTTGGTCCCTCCTTTGCAGCTATTACAACTGCCATTCTTTCAGCAAGGCTTTCCACAAGATTTTTAAGTGTATCTGTTGGGATTTTTCCCCATTCATTCAGAAGAGCATTTGTGAGGTCAGGCACTGATGTTGGACATGAAGGCCTGGCTCGCAATCTCTATACTAGTTCCACCCAAAGGTGTTTGATGGGGTTGAGGTCAGGGCTCTGTGCAGGCCAGTCAAGTTCTTCCACACCAAACTCACCCAGCCATGCCTTTATGGACCTTGCTTTGTGCACTGGGGCACAGTCATGCTGGAACAGAGAAGGGGCCTTCCCCAAACTGTTACCACAAAGTTGGAAGCATAGAATTATCCAAAATGTCTTAGTATGCTGAAGCATTAACCCTTTCAACCCTATCCATTTTTCAGCATTTTTCTATCCTCATTTTAGGCTTATTATATTCTATGTCCATGAATTAGCCACATATGCTGTATGTCTTTGTTTTCAGCACATTCTGGGTTACTCAGATATGTCATAATTTGGTTTGGTGGTTGCCAGGAGAATGGTACTTGCCTGACTGCATTGTGCCAAGTGTAAAGTTTGGTGGAATATACATATACAAACTAAATATTACGAAAATATGAAGTAATTGTCTTCCTAATAAATAGAATGCTGCATTTTGTTGTTATTTCTAGTGCAACTGCAGCCAGTTTTTGAGTGTTTTTCTATCCATTTATTTACAGCCTTATAACAAATGAATTATAAAAGAATTTTTTTTTCCAAAGAAGGGAAGTACATGGATCATTGCAAAGGGAATATGCACTTTGTTTTCCATGTCATGTGAATAATATCATTGTTTCATGGAATACTTTAGCGCACAATGTTGCAACTTGGACGAGTAAGTTATCTCGATTCCAGCGATATACAATTCATGTTTCTACCTTATATAAGTCATGAGCCTGAGATTAATTAATGAGATTAATAGAACTATGAGTTCTAAGGGTTAAGAGTTGCCTTCACTGGAACTAAGGGGCCTAACCCAACCCCTGAAAAAAAAACCCATACCATCCATGAAACTGCCACACAGAAAAGCGTGATTCGTCCTCCACAGAACACATTTCCTCTGCTCCAGAGTCCAGTAATGGCTTTACATCACTTCATCCAATGGTTGGATTGAGCTTGAGTGAGGCTTGCATGCAACTCATCATGTAAACCTGAGTGCATTACTCAGTGCTTGATTTTAGTGTATTTTCACAACTGTACACACCAAAACTTGGTATCTTGGATGGATGTTTAGTGATTTTTTTAAGTTGATTTTGAAAAAACAGGATCAATGTTTTTGAAATTCAAGATTTTATGATGAAAAAATGAATTCACATATACTTTTTAAGCATATGTCATAATAGAGCTGTGTCTTCTAAAAATGTGAGGTTAATGCATTGCTAGAACATCTATTCCCATCTTTCCAGGGTTACATGCACATTTTTGCAATGCACATTTGCCCACTTTGGTATTCTAAATTTCAATTGTGGCCTCTTTTTCAGAGACTCAAAGGAAGAAAACAAAAATAAATCTTTTTATGTGCAAGCAGTGGTTTGGGAGGGTTATGCAGACATAGCCATGTAATGTAAATGCAAATATGACGTGACCCTCACCTCAGAATTTGTGAGCGTGTTCTCATTCATAATGCAGGTCTTTGAAGGGGGGCTCTTCTTGGAATTGAGAGCATCTGTAAAGAACAATAATCTGAGAAACAACAGTCTGAGAAATTCTGAAAAACATTGTATTAAATAGACAGTATTAAAGTGACTAAACTTCAACATGTTAAAAGAGTATACTATTTAATTTGCATTTAAAATAGAAAAGGATTTCTAACTAGACATGCAGAATATCCAGCAAAGAAAGCATGTTAAAAGTGAGTGAAGCCCTTAATCCCCAACTCCAGAGGGGCTACACAATGGTTCACACTGTGCTGTGAATCCCAAGTTATGAAGAGCAAGATGGGGTCAGCAAAAAGACAAACTCCTTTGTACCTGTACTTGTGCAATGGCTGATAAAGGATTATTAGTAAATGGTAGTAACTCATTAATGAAAAAAACTGTATTATAACTTCCTTAAATTGTTTGGTAACCTGACTACAAACCATTCACAAACCCTTCATAAGGGTAGTCTTATTGTAAAGTTGTACCATAAATTCTGACAAAATCTTTACAATTTCAAAACTATGCCTACAAACTAGTTTGCCATACAGTTCCATCCATCTTCCATCTGCTCATCCAGTACAGGGTAGGAGTAGGTACCTAACCGATGTTTCCCATTAATCTTCTGTCCTTTCTATTAAGATAATTCCATTTGTAAGGATAGATGATGTGAGCATTTCCAGGCTAAAATGACAAACATACACTGGCAGTCAAAAGTTTGGACACATCTTCCCATAGAAAGGTTCATATTACTGTTTTCTACATTTTAGAATAATTATAAAGACATAAAAACTATAAAATTACATATTTGGAATTATACACTGACCAAAAAAAAAAAATAAGTTTAATAAATTTAGTTCAGCTCTGTGGGTTGGGACTCAGAAGGTTGCCAGTTTAAATCCCAGTGTCAGCAGAATGACTCCACTATTTGGACCTTAAGCAAGGCCCTTAACCCTAATTGCTCCGCGGACTGACTGACCCTACTGTCTCCTGTAAGCCAGTTTCATGATGTTGGCTCTCAGGATGCTTTTCCAGCTGTCCTGAAGGAGGCCCCTTTTCCTTCACTTTCCGGTCAATCTCCTACAAAACCATTTCTTCTGTGTTTACGTCAGGTGGCCAGGTCATGTGATGCAACGCTTTCCTCTGCAGGCAGCTTGGTGTGTCCAAAGTTTTGACCGGTACTGTATATTTCTCTAGCAGACCAAACTTGTCCAAAGCGACATACAAGTGAAGCAAATAGCACAGCAGTAGTTGTAGCACCTGTGCTAAATTTACGGAAGCTGCAGGAAAACAGTACGTGATAAGGCTGACCATGAGGGGAGGACAGGAAACTGATCTGGTTGGTGGTCAAGACAGAAGAGGCGGCAGGATGTGCCTGAGGAGGGAAGGGTACGGCCAGCTCCACGTTCAGAAGCTGGAGACGTTCCTTCTTTGCCGTCAGACTGAGGATCTGATCCTGAAGTCGCTGGTTCTCTTGTTGCAGGGAGTGCAATGACTTCAGCATTTCTACAACTGAGGCATGTGGATTGGGGGACAAGGTAAAGACGTAAATAAGGGGGTGACAGGAAAATAACACAGGGAACAACAGAAGGGCAACATAAGAGGAAAAGAAAACAGGCATGTTAGTCAGGTTTTCCTCTCTACTGCAATGTAACAGCACTTTTAGTTAGATATCTCCATTACTTGGCTTTGATGAGTGACAGATGAGTCTCACTTACTGTTCACTCCCATCTCTCCATTGCCGTGTTTCTCCAGGAGGAGTTCAATGTGGGAGCTTGCGAGGGGCACGTTTTCCGGCCGGCCTCTGGCCCCCCGGTCCACCCCCTCCCTCTGGTCAAACAGAAGAGGCAGGCTGCTCATAGGTGACCTAGGCAAATGGAGCAGATCTTACATATCTGGTAACAGAGGTTCACTCAGAAATGTAAGTATTGATATTAGAAACCTAAAAGTAAAACACAGCAAGCCTGCTATTTATAATAAATAGGGAAAACTGAAAAAGAGACAATAATTATCGTATGGGGCGCTACTGCAACTAGGAGAGTGTTTAAGGATACATGACATCAAGAAACAAAAATTGCTCAAAGTCTACCTCAAGTCAGTTGCTTTATCTGTGCTGGTCATCTTTAACTACACTTTAACAATGCTTGTTCTGCCATACATCACAATGAAGTACAATCACAATGAAGGGAGCTGCTGCATTCAAACTGTGGCATGATGAGCAAATGTAAAATATTTAAGAATTACAAAATTATGTCCTAATGCCATTATCTGAAGAATTAATACAATCCTTGACCAAAACAGCCAATTAAAAGGCTGTTGTGTACTTATTTCAATAGTAATATATTTTTTGCGGCCGCAGAATAAGTTCAATCAGTTAAAGAAATGTATTGCTTGATACTTCATGGTTAGCTGCTTGCAAACAATGAATATTATCAAAACATAAATACTAGTGTCAGAAACTAAAGTGAGGCAGCACCCCCTAGTGGCTAAACATACCATTGTCCTCCACTTCAACTGAAATGCTAGGAACTCAAGCAAACTTTATTAAGATATTCATAAAACACAGTTGAAACCAAACTCATGTCCTGATTTTCCCAAGTTCAACACATCCCTGGGGCTTGCATTTCACTTCTTTAAACAATCAGAGTCATCATTGTATGACATCACTACATTAAATAAAACCAGTGTTTTCTTTTAAGTAGCAAGGTGCACAGATTTATAAAGTACCCATTTTATTGTGCATGCCTTTTGTTAAGGGATATGTCATAGATATAAAACAGAGGAACATGCTTACCTGCAAAAGCTATAATGTAAGCAATGTAAGGGTGAGTCTTTATTTCATGATGATAATAATAAAAACAAGCTGGGGATTAAGGACCTTGCTCAAGGGCGCATGGACATGTGATTATTGCAGTAAGGCTGGGCTAAAACCAACAACCTTCTGATCACAGGCACAGAGGCTTAGCCTGCTGAGCCACACACTGCCCCCAGCTGGATGTGTAGAAGACTTGAGTTTGAAAATGAGAAAAAAAACATGTATGAAAGTGGTGATGTCCTACATTAAGGTTTCTCAGTTCTGGTCTGGAGGCATACAATACAACATAGTTTGCAGATTTCCTTGCTGAAACACATATTAATCAGCTAATTACCAGGTTTAGAATGCATGTTTGAGCAGGGAAATCTGGAAACTGTGTTGGATTCTGGCCCTCCAAGACTGAAATTGGGGTACCCTGTCATACACCCATCCCTAATGACCCAGGGATGCATTGAACTGGTCCAAATTAGAGACCAGGTCCTGAGAAAAGCTTAACTGAAAGCACTGGGTCACCTTATTACGGTGTTTTTTTATTTATTTATCGTTTTGACCCCTTGTTACTAAAAAACTACATGTTATGTGCTTGTGAATGATTATATTCTCAGAAAGTTATAAAATGTTTAAATATCTCTAAATTTTTAATTGGACCAATAATACTATAATAAACTATAAATGAGCTTTAAGGCTATAATGACAGCAACTGAACTGCCATGCCACTGGTGACTGACACCTTAAAAAGAACTTCAGCAATATAATTATAATAATTATAACATAGTTACAGTATTATGGTTAGGCAAGGTATGTATTATAGCAATGTAAACTATGTTTAAATGTCATCTATGTAATGAAGGGTGTGTTGATACAGAAGAAGAAGAGATAAAATATTATTTTATTGTTATCAGTTCAAGGCCTAGTTATTATATGTATTCATTATTTCTCTCTTTTTGCTTCCTTTCTGTTTTATTCAAGCATATCACATTTCATTAAAGGCTGAACATAGGAGGACACAGTTGAAAGGCACTGTGACCATCTTGACAAAGGAACTTGCACTGAGCCACATGAGTGACAGTGGGAGACAACAGTAGACAAACTTCTGTTATCAGTAAAGATCTAAAAGTGACAGAGAGAGAGAATAATCTGTGATAGTTACTGTGAGGAAAGGCTTTCTTGTGGAGAGCTGCCGCGGCAAACAAAGTGATCTTCCAGATGCGGCTCTGAAACAAACAATAACATTACTGACCATCATCACAGAAGATAGCGCCCACTTTTGGTGGAAGGCAGAGTCAGTCCTGGGTTCTGTGTATTTTGCCCCATGTCACCTGAAAATAAGTATAGGAGCCTCTGCCCTATGGCCCATAACTGTGACATGCTAGTTTTGATCTGTGAACAATGCACCTCGATCCAATCTGTCACTCAAGACAAGTGGGAAATTCCCAAATGAACATCGTCGCAGCTAAAAGCCCTGAAACATGGATCTGTATGCCATCCACGTCTGTAATGCTCTCACAGAACCCTTGACTTAAGATGCAAGTCAAAACAACTAAAGAGCAACTTTGTGATAAAAGTATTTCCACGATATGTGAATAGATGCAGAATAACCAGACCAATAAAATATATCCAGTTATATAAATTAATTCTGGGCAAAACATGCACTAAAGCAATCTAAAACACGGAAAATTTACAGTCATGGAAAAAATTACACATATCAAAAACATAAACAGCAATTTATTTGGCACAGATAAAAATTATGACATTGAAAATGCTAGAGGGGGGAAAACAGGCGGCTGTCAAGCCGCCCGTAACGCAGCCCACTGCGGGTATTAGGTGCCATGTGCTGTACGTGTGCAGACAACCTGGCAGCGAGCTCTGGGTCTGGCTCAGGAGAGGCGACAACGGAGAGGCAGCAGACAGAGTGCTGCCACACACCCGTGTTGAACTCAGACTGTAGGAAGAACTGGGGAGTGTGTACACCTGCAGGACAAGAAGTGTAACATCAGCACATACAATTTTCAGGAAATTTCTTCATTCCATAAACAGGTATATTTACATAAATACATAGACATGGTTGAAACGGTACTTTAGAAATGTACTCCAGGAAAATGACTAAATACCTGGTGAAAAAATGTAGTGAGTAACACAGTCAATAATCACAATATTTAAGTAACCTAATCTTACAACACTCTGTTACTTTTGGATTTCCCCAATGTTAAGTGGGGGAACACAAGAGAATAAGAAGTAAGTAAGGATTCTGTAAGACAACAGAACAATGTAAGATAACAATAGGAGAACAAGTGAAGACACACATCAAACATGTCGCTTAGCACATGGCTTAAGAGCATACAAAACTTTGACAGACCTTTTATTGTTTAGACATTTTATTTCATGTGTTTTTAATCATAGACTAGGCTCTTGTCACTGTTTAAGATCAAATCAATATGAAAAGAAACATCACTGTAAGAATAGACACGAGATGGCTAGCTAGTTTACCTGACCAAACATAGCTACCTAACTAGTCAGCTAGCTGTATCCTTTGTCAAATGGCCTGCATAATATTTGGACTTATTTTTTTCTTCAGATATAGCTCAGTGTCGTCTACATATTGATGGAAAGAAACACTATTTGTTAATATAGTTGGCCAACAGCAACAAAAAAAGATCCCTGAGGCACCCTGTCAGCACACACCATTCTGAAGCACAGTCACCAAAGTGCCACATACTGTAGAACGCACGATCACAAAGAGAACATAGAACCTAGCACCGAGCCAGAGAGGCCAACCCAATTTTGCAGTCGGTCAAGAATAGCTGTTGTGATTGACAGTATCAAATGCAGCACTATGGTGAAGGAGAAACAAAATAGCATGGTGGCCAGAATCATTGTAGAGTCTCAGGTCATTCAATCCTCTAAGTAGGGCCGTCTCAGTACTAGAGGACCTTGAAAACCAGACTGGTATGCCTCATTGATGTTATTGTTATTAATGTTATTAACTCACTGCAGAGGTACAGCTTTGTTAATTAGTTTGCCAAGAAAGAGGAGGTCAGGCCTGTATAAATAGGCCTGTAATTGCTGAGTACAAGAGGAGACCAACCCACTTCTCTGTAACAGAGGCCAGACTTTGGTGGTTTTAAGGTTACATGGGTAAACACCTTGTTGCAGAGACAATAATATTCAGCTAGTCATTACAGATACAATTAAATTTGTCCTTTAAGAATCTAGTGGGGAGAGGATCTAAGGCACAGCTTGTGTTCTTCATAAGAGGCATGATCTTAATAAGCTCATTTATGGTCACAGGTAAAAATATGGAAAAATATGTGTTCTATGTGCTGGAGGAGAAAGTCCAGCCTCTGAAGAACAGAATTCATTATGTTGTTTCTAATGTCAACAGTTTTACTCCTAAAAATGTCTGCAAATCCATTACATTTGTCAATAGGGAACAACTTAAAGAAAAGGGGAGGGGTTTACCAATGTGTCAATAGTGGGAAAAAATAAACTTTGGGGCATTTATATGGGCAGTGATGAGTGATGAGACCTGATAAATAAGTACTCCTAGCCTACTTCAGGTCTTCAAGAAGTATTTTTAAGTGATGCTTGTAGGAAATATAGTGTAGTAGAAGCTTAGTTTTCCCTCCACTGTCTTTCTATAAGTGCGTTTGTCACTAAGATCAATTTTGTAGTCATATCATCAGATCTGTGACAATATGTGCAGGCACTCAGGTTAAGAGAGGAGCTGAGCTGGATCAGATGACGGGGAGAATGCCAGATAGACCTGGCAGACCCAAACGTATAGGGTGTGCTGGGAGAGTCTGGCCGCAGCCCCTGTCCAGAAGATTCAAAAGTCGCACCTCCAGCAGCAATTCTCTTGCATCCCGAGGGAGGCTGGAGACATTAAGCCTGACTGGCACATGCTCCGTGCCTCCATTGCTGAGACAGCTGTGAAAGGCTGCGGCAGTAAGGTTGTTAAAGCCTTTCACAGAAGCAAGCCCTAAACCCTGGGTGGACACCAGCGGTAAAGCAAGCTGTCAGGCTGAAAGCCTTCCAAGTTTAGTCAGCCTGGGAGACTCCAAAGGCAGCCAAGAGCAGTGTGGCATTTGTAGTTGCGGAAGCAAAAACTCAAGGTTGGGAGGTGTTTGGTGAGGCCATGGGGGGTTTGGGAGGTGTTTGGTGAGGCCATGGGGGAAAATGACTCTCATGAATGATTCTGCCATACCGTCTACTAAGGAGGAGGAAGATGCAGCCGGTGGCCACTAATTTCTGGGGGTGGGGGGGGGACTGTTTTTGTCAGTGAAAAGTGAGCATAAATAGCAAGATGACAAAAACGTCATTTTTACTAGTAAGAATTGTATTATAGATACACCGAATTCACATTCTTATTGGCAAAAATGGCATTTTTATTAGTAAGAATGTTATTTTTTACTAGTTAAATTAAGTTATGACTATTGGCTTTCCATAGTGCGGTATTTTGAGAGAAGACATGCAGCTAGGTAAATATCAGCTCTAATATACACTTGTTTGTTTGTTATTTCATAAATATTTCTGCTGCAATTTAGACCTTTTTAACATTTGGTCCCAAGCAGACAACAGCCTCTTAACAGTACTATAAAAACAACAAAGCTGTACAGAAGTTTGTTTTTAATTCTCAATCTCAAAATCTCAAATCTCAAAAGATCGATTCATTTCCTGGCAAAGTTTAAGAAAAATGGATCTCACAGAGACTTAAATTTCCCCACAATCATCTATCCTAACTTGAAGACAAACAAAAACACAAACTTTTATTACCTGCGTGTTGGTCACAGAGGAAGATGTATAGGGGTGTGTAGAGGTATGGGAAGACAGCAGTCCTGAGGCTATTGTCGTACTACACACACCCCCACCCAAAGAGATAGGGTCCTTGTTACTGGAGTAGACACCTGAATAATGAAAGCAGAGGTCCATATCATACAATATACTGTAGACATACAATATGAAGAATTTGATAACTTACCCAAAGTTATATTTGCTGACCGGTATTGCTTAATAATTTAATTTGAGTGTAATTATGGGCCAGTGTCTCTGTCAAACACAGCTTCTGACACAGTAAAACGGAACATTTCCAAAACAATTAAAACTCAAAGCAAAATTATATTACTACGTCCTTATTGTGCTGATGGTGTAAATAACTTAAACATACCATATCACTGAGCAGAAGGTAACTCCAGGGAGCTCGTGCTCCTGACATCATGAGCAGATGTCAACATCAATGGTATCTTCAGCTAAGCTCTAATGCTACCTACAGTAGCTCAGTGCTGCTAGGTGAGCTAGCAGTATTAGTTAGCAATATTTGACTGAGAGGAAGACATCGAACGCTGTCTTGCTCAACCGTACTTATTTGAACCACAGTACACAGACAAATGTTAAACTAGTACACAGACTAACTTTAGAGCTTAGCTGAGTAGGACGCCACTGATGTTCACATCTGGTCACAGGAGAACAAGCACCCCAGCGCATTTTCTGCACAGTGATATGGATGGCATTTGGAGTTCAGTAGAAAGAAAAAAGTTCCTACATAAAATTGCTCACTACAAGGACTGTGGATTATCTCAAGTAGCCGGGTCATGATTACTTAAAGCATTTTGGTTGCTTTAATCGCCAGAGAAAGAATGCCATTTAGTCCCATTATATTCCAGAGATGGCATTTCTATGGCCGATATCTCCAAAACTAGGCAACTCTCATCACAACAGTATATATGAACAAATAGTGCTACATGATATCTGAAAATATGTTGGGTTTTTTTTTTTCTGCGATGAACTGTCCCTTTAAGCAATCCATGGATACAGGCCTCTCAACATCAATGGGGCACCAGCTGAGAGGGAGAATACCTTTAGCTATCTCAGAGTCTGTATCTCCAGTGACCTCACCCAGCTCAATTATATACAGGCTCAGTTATCCAGGCATCAGTTGTACCATCTTAGGCAGATGGGGAGGTTTAAGGTCTCACCAGTCATTCTCAGAGCCTTCTACTCTGAAGCTTTAGAGAGCATCCTCACCGTCGGAATCACAGCCTAGTTTGGCAATTACTCTGCCCAGGACTGCAAGTCCCTACAATAGGTGAATCATTCAGCTGAATGCATCACCAAGGCTGATCTGTCTCCCCAGCAGGACATTTACCTCAGACGATGCAGGAGCAGAGCAGCTAAAATCAGCAGGGACACATCACACCCTAACAAGTAACTCTTTACCAGGCTAAGGTCTGGAAAGCGCTTCTGCTGTCTCTCGTTGAGAGATGAGAGGCTCAGAAGGAACTGCTACCCTCAGCCATCAGATTACTTAACAGTTATAATTTATCACTCTTTCCTTATTTATGTACATCACACTTTATTTGAACTGTGTGACTTATCTCTGGTCATTTTCAGTATAACTTTCTGTTCCTTATTTATTACATATGTATTGTATTGTTACTCCTTATGTCTTACTGCTCTCGCTATTTTTATTATGGCAGAGCCATCTTGTATTTCACTGCAGGTTACAGTCTGACTGTATACCTTGCATGTGACAAATTAAAGCCTTCATTCCTACCAGTCCGTGTGGTTGCACGCTGCAAGTACATAATGCATGGTTAGTTTTAACGAGAAATCTATTTTTAATTAGAGATGCACAACACTTCGATTAATATATCGGTATTGGCAGATGGTTCATTAGAAATCAAGGTATTGCATCAATCCGATGTGTCAGCCAATATTTGAATTTTTTGAAAAGTTACCAGCACCAGAGCTAAAGACACAACTTTTAATAATTGAGTTGATTGTATTAGACCATCAGCTATTTCCTGTAGTGGCGAGGGACTAGAGGAGGGATTCTGACAGCTGATAAGAGGTCTCAAAGTACCAGCTTACAAAATGCACCTGGCCTGCAGATCGATTTTGCACAGAATGAAGAACGACGCGACATCATTCCGCTAATCTGCGCAGGCAAGTTTCACGTAGCACAAATGGCTCAGAGATTAGCTACTTATCGGTATCGGTGAAATTAGGAAAAAATATATTGATATGGGTTGGCGCCAGTGCTTGAAGTGTGAAAAAACAGGTGTTGGTACTCACCTTGTTATTCACTACCAGTAGATTATGAGAGGTGCCAGTACCCAAGAAATGTTCCGGGTACTCTGAAGAGAAAAACAAAGAGGTACCGGTACTACGTACCGGTAAGTACTGGCCCACCTGAAGCACTGATCGGCACGGCACTATTTTTAATATAACACTCATGTCACACTTCATAAACGTGACTTAAGAACAACTTCGCTGTATAGTGCTACCCCAGGCCTGCCATCCACATAAGCAGCTGTTTGGTGAATTTGTGAAAGAATTGTGAACATCCAGGAATGCAGATGGACCAGCGCAAATGCACTGTGGTGCATTTGCATCTGCAGTAAATTTGGATCAGCCCAGGAGGAGAAGGCTGAACGTGACAACATCAGAGAACTCATATGGAAATAAACTCCTTCCTCCTGATCTAGTTCATTACTGCAGTAGTCAAAGAACGGAATGTAACATACTCTACTCCTATTTTCTTAAAATCACAGAGATTGCCGATGTTGAGATAATATACTCATTTCACTGATGACATCACCCATGACCAAAAAGGAGAAAGATGTTAAAAACACGCTGTCTCAACAACATCCAGCAGACCAGCACTTTCAATACTGTATCTCAAGCTTAATCCAACACAACTGCCTTGATCGTAATCATTGTGCACCTCCTTGGCTACATTAGGGTTTCCCACCAATGTTAAGTGTGACATTAGGTTCAGCATAAAGTATATAGCTGGATAAAAGCCTGAAGCTTTCTAGTGATAATTTGAACTGTCTCTCAGCTTTGCGTTTCTATTAAACAAGATGATGATGGAATAAAAAGGAATGTTTGGGTTTCATTTACAATTGTTTGTTTTCCTGGGTTTCTTTGCTATATGGGGGTAACAAATGTTATCAATTAACTTAGGTGATCCAACTTAATGCAAAACCCTAAAACATGTTATATATATTTAAAAGAAATACTTTACAGGGTGTGTTCATATGTTCTCATGTGTTGAAGCGTTTTCTCATTTGTTAAGAGACAAAAGTTATTTTATAGGATAAACTAACCACAAATACTCAGTGCATCTCTTCCCTGCTCCTTCTCATCTTTGAACCCGTTTTTTTTCTCGAGCACAATCCTTTTGTTACTATACTGGCAATAAGATTTACTAGTTTCATGCATTAATGGAGGATGAACAAGGTGTTTACCCATAACCAGACTGTATACTTATAATTCTTCTTTCAGTGATAAATCAGTTAACTTGATTTTGTAGTTCTGTGTCTAGGCTGTAACGTCTTATTTAATTTATGTTTCCTACAAGAGCAGAAATTATTTTGGCTCCATCCACCACTTAAACACATGGTGCATGTAACCAATGAGTATTTTACTGAGAGCACCAATGTGCATTATTATTACTCATTTCTATTCTTCTGGTCTATTTATTACAGACACTGACACTTATAACATGTAAATAATAAATCGCTTATTTCCCGACTTTTGTTGGGCGATATATAATACAACATATGATTTTGGTGGTTATGAAGGACATTGCCCAAAACAGCACACAGAACAGCATTTAACCTCTCCCCTACCGAGAGACACTATCTGGTACTTTATAATCACAAACCCAATAGTAGAATAATAATATTCTAAATATCATTTGCTCTTTTGCCCCAAAACAACATCCAAAGATTTGTTTCAGCCACACACGTATTGGCTTTAAAGAAATTATGTTGTACAAATACTCAGTGTTTGTAGACTGCATAAGACTGATGCTGACCTCGATGCCCTCAGAAGCCCAAACACTAAACAGCTGGACTCACCAGAACTGAGCAGTGAGCTGCTGCTGCCTATGGAGAAGGAGTTCTGGGTGGAGATTGATATGGAAGCTGGATAGCTGGTGCAGGGAGGGGCAGGCGGCACTGAGTATCCAGTTCCAGACTGGCTGATGTGATGCTCCTTCCCTTCACGTCCTTCTCGATTCCTGCTGCCCTTCGGCCTCCCAGGCCCATGCCGACTCTTCTTGTTCATGCCATGACGCCTCTCACTGACTGGGGGCATTGTCTGTTCCTCCAGAATATCTGGTTCCTCTGTGATTGCAGAAGGGGTCTGGTGCACCTTGCTGTTCGGTTTGCTTGGCCTGTACTCCCCAGGCGTCACCTTACGCACCTTGGCAGCCCCACTAAGCCCCCCTGTGGAAGTAATACGCATGATGGAGCCAAACGTAGAAATTGTGACTTTGGGCTCAAAAGAGCTACCTTTACTCTCCACCCGGTTGTAGCTTGGTGAGTTCTGGGGACCATCACTCATGGTAAGAACTGGGGGCAATAAAGATGGCTTAGCATATTTTTCCCCCTCTTCCTCTTCCTCTTCATCTTCCTCCTCCTCCTCCACTTCCCACGGCCCTCCATTTCCCTCATTGGTCTCTTCGGTCGCTTGCTCATCTCCTTGCTCTCGTTCCCAGTCCAGACGAGATGAAGAAGAGTATTGTAGAAAGTCTTGAGCTGAAGAAAGAGAACCACCACCTGAAAAAAAAAATAAAATAGATTATAACACCAAGGACAGTTGCACAGCATATACTGTCGTGCAAAGTCAACACACGATGTAAGAAGTATAGTTACAGTATGCAAGTAAAATTATTGCAAAAGCCAAACATAGCAGAAAGGTATTTGTGGTTACCTGTGTTAAATGGGCTGGAAGAACAGGAAGACGAACAGCTCTTGGTTCCACTCCCGGCTCCCTTTTTGCTCCGGTGCAGACTGTGGTTGCCCAATTTCTTGGTTTTTCCCCCAGTCTCCTTATTACCATGATGACTAGAGGGCAACTAAATAAACAAAGACATATTGAGATGGATTACCAGGTCTAGTACATGTGATATTAATATTGTACAGAGCAGATGTTATCTGGAGTGCACTGCAAATTACTCTTCAGAAAATTCAGAGCTTATTCATGTTTAAGACGAAATTGTTTTTTAAACGACACAATATGTTTAAAGTTTAATGTTTAAACTTATTGGACTTAAGGTAGTCTGGGCTAAATGTGCTGTATCTTCAGCTCAGACTACCTTAAATCTGACAAGTTATCCGGCTAAAGCAAGAAAACCTGCTTTGTGAAATACCCCCCAGTAGAACACATAACACATACATACACCACAGAGTTTCTTTAGCAGAAAACACTGTATATAGTAAAGTTGTTTTAAAGATTTTTCAGATCTGTTAAACATTATTTTGAAATAACACATGAAGAAACACAAAATACATTTGAGCTTTATATACCAGAAGAAGGGGGATTTAAGCTACAATTATATCCCTCCAAATAATGTTAAAAATCTCCTCACTGATTTGCTTTTCTGTCTTCTTAAACATGCACATATATTTACACATATGTAAAAATGTAAGATGCAGGGGACGGTCATCATAGGATTCAGAGAATTCAAGGATTGTTTCCCTGCCACATGCCCCACTTTGAATAAAATGTAAATGGCTGTTCTTTGTGTTTGTTCCTCCCCCCTGTTTGTTAACCACCACCCAGCCGTAACCTTATCCAAAAATCAGACCTTATCTGACCAAAATCAGAGAATTGAGGTAGGAAAATGGCATTTACCTATAAACATTACCTCGTGGATAACGTGTTAACATTTTAATCCTATACATTTTTTCACATTTCACGATTGTCCAGATAGTATAATATATACTTACAGTAGGCATAGCCTGAGACTTTTCAACAGGAAGGATTCTGCCATAATCAAATCAGGCCAAATGAGTGGAAGGATGTTGCCTAGTAACCGTAATGCTTGTTTCCACCGCAGGAACTCGAGGCACTTCCCAGGTACAGGAACAACCCCCCTATTGGCCCTTTCTGCCTTTTGTGTTTCCATTGTGGTGTAAGAACCAGTGATGCGCAGTTCCATTCATGAGCGACCTGAACTCACCCAATGATTTTATTCAACCTGACCGCATCTCAAACCGCTGATATTAATAAAGACAGAATTATGCCTGATCTGCCACCCCACCCACTTCATATGCTTAAATTTTATATGCTTAAATTTGCATGCTAATATTCTATTTTTACTAACCCACCCGCAAATGAACAGAATATCATTAAAAATTTTGTTTGAGGCGTAAGCACAGATGACTATAGGCACTGCTTTTTTCAGAAGCACCGGACTCACGCATCAGAGGTTCACATATTCAGCGACAGCTTTAACCGCAGTATTTACACTGTGCCGAATGTGTCAGCATTTATAAAAAAACCTTTATTGACATTTTGCAATTGTTTGTGTTTGTAGTTAACCTTTTTAAGGTAAAGACTGGTTAAAAATGAAAAATCCGAAACAGATCAAAAGAATAAAAAAAATAACCAGTAATTTGGAAAAAAAAATTTAATGGAATTTGCGCAAAAACAAAACGCTTGTCATAGGGCCCTATGTAAGTAATGACCAAACTAAGCTATGAAAGCAAACAGCTGTAATGAGACTTATCTACAAGGTCAATGGACTCCGTCTCAGTGACAGGATAATGAGTTTGGCATTCTGGAAGAATCTCAAAATTACCCCCTTTGTTGAGTTATTTCAGGCATATCATTTTGAAAACGAATGGATTAATAGATAGGTAATCTTATATCCCTGACAAACATTAATGATGATTGCTTTTTATTTCTCCATCAGTTATCCACCATGTATTTAACCTGGGGAAATGGTTTGTCTTAGCAGAGTTCGGAAATAATTTTTAGTGTTTAGTATGAAAATATGCTGTTCAAAAACAAAAATGGAGGCCACTTTTCTGAATTATAATATTTTATATCTTTGGGTTTTATGTTCATGTAGGAATATAATGCAGAAATGTCAGCGTCATTGATGCGCAGTGATTAAGATATTAAACTAACAATGGTTATGGTGGGAGTTATGGAATTTTTAATGTTAATATGGGAAAGGAATTCTACATAATGGAGTTAGTATGTAGTTGTACATTCAGAGTAGCCATTCTGCACACAAATGTTATACTGAGCTGTTTTCTGTGTACTTATGGTCTTCCTGTTAGCTTTCTCCAATCTGGACATTCACCACTATCCTCTCCCAGATGTTTCTGACAACAGACTGGATGGGTTTTTCACACATTCTTATCTGCAAAGGGCCGGTGTGTATGCAGGTTTCTGGGATAACCTTCAGGTCAGCTGTTCAAACCCAGGTGTGAGGACTTCAGCCAATCAGTCCTCGAATTAGTAATATAATTAGGGAGTTGCAGTGAAAATCCGCACACACACCGGCCCTTTGTGGATAAGATTGCCCCCCCCTCCTTTAGACACTCCTCTATGTGGAAGTCCCAGAAGGGTGGTTGTTTGAGATGTTTGTGTTTTGTTTGTGTTTATGTTGAGAACAAAAATTAAATGGCACTGAGAGTGGTGCTGATGTCTATATCCTAGGGACAAAGTTGGAAGTCTGTATTTAATCTACTGTGGCCTTATACTTAGTGGCTGTTCAGTGAAATGGCTTCTGGGTTAAGCCTGGAGGGGGAATAACATTAAATAGTTCTGTATTCTCCAAAGTTTAATTTCATAACGTTGAACCAATAAACCACTAAAATAAATTTAGCAGAAGTTAGCTTTAACCACTAACTGCTAACTTTTATTGTATGAATTTAGCTTTGGTTTGGTGTTGGGCTCTGAAACCCTTAAAAATATACTTCAAGAAATGAAATCCTAACCTGTTTAGCAATTTAGTTTCAGAGGACTGAAGTCAGGGGCATTGTTAGGCCTAAAATGTTTTTTAGCCCCCCCCAAATAAATGTGTATTTATTGGTTTAAGTCATGAATAGTTTGCCATCAGCCCCCCTTATCCATTCTTCTCTAAGGATATTTAGCACTTACCCAATTGGGGATTGGATTCTGTGGAACCTCTGGAATAAATTTTCTTTCAGTGATATTCCGTTTGTGAGGTAAAACTATATTTGTTGAAGTCCTAATCTGCGATTGGATCTTGCTCACTTTGTGCTCTCGGTGAAGCTACTTGAGGACTACAATCATGGTGCCGTTTACCCAGAACGAGAAGGAGGGTCTCAGCGCTTTATTGGTCTATAGCTACATCAATAACCAGGGGCTGAAGCAGGGATTCTTGCTTAACTGGATAACTTGTGGTACTTAAGGTAGTCTGGGTTACTTTAAAGTCCAATCAAAATAAAGTCCATTTAAACTAGGGTACCTGAAATCCGACAAGTTATGCAGCTAAGCAAGTAATCCAGCTTCGTGATACAGGCCCCAGTGCTCTATTTAGGTCAGGATACATGGACTTTATCTTTGTTCACTTACTTTTAGCCCAGACTAAATTAACTAAAACAAGTTATCAACCAATCACATCTTGTGTTTACACGTAGTCAGCCAACAACATGCCAAACAGACAGTTGCAGACACGCTCACAACAGACCGGAACAAATATGTGTGATTTTAGGATTTACAAATGTTCTGGACCCTTTAAACGTTATTCACTTTACCTGTGAAAAAATATTAGTGGATTTGCAGTTAGTGAAACAAAATTTAGTGGACACTAATTGGTCTGCTAACAGTTTTCAAGGTTAGCAGAAAAAAAAAGTAGCAGAGCCCTGCCCACTTCTCTAATGAGTTTTTAAAAATGTTGCAGGCTGTATATAAACCATTTAACATATGAACGTATTCTGTCTCACATGTTTATTTAAGATAAAGGTTTGAGTTCCTAAGTTTTTATGTGACACACGTAAGTGGCCATGAATTGCACACAGCCCAGGTACCTGAAATGTGGTGGGAAAGCGCCTTTATATATAATTATCTAGAGAGAGAGATCTACATCATTTCATATATAACCATCAACAAAGCAACAGAATCTAAATACATATTTTCTAATTACCTATTCTATACTACAAAACAGTATTGATTATTATGTAAGTTTTGAAATGTTGGAATTCTTTTGTGAATTATAATTCTGTGAATTATTATTTCATAAGATTTGTTTTGGTTGGAATGGCAAAGAGATCCACATAACACAGGGATGGGAGAATGGAACAAAGACTTTATTGGGGTTTTGAGTTGAACACACTGTGACAGAGAAAGGCAAGACAAAGGGCCGCCATACTGGCTTTAAGAAAAGGGGTAAAGAGGTAGGGAAAGCAACTGGAGTATCGGCTACAGACTGTTTAGCTTAAATCTTCCTTCTAATCCTGTGTAAAGCTTAACTGCGTTCTTACTTATTTAGCAAATGCTCTTATCCAAGCAACGTTCAGCTAAAAAAGTAGGATTAGACAGCAGTTGGAGCAGTCAGGGTTACGGACCATGCGCAAGGGCCTAACAGTGACATCACTCTGCTGTACACAGGATTTGACCTGGCAAACCTCTGATCACGGGCACCGAGACCTAACCCCCTGGGCCGCACGCCATCCCCAGGGTGTAAGTCTCAGCTCATTAAAGGGATATAAACAACATTAAAACTTAAATTTCATCATGTCTCATTTCAAAACAATGCTTAACAAATCTGAAAGTTGGTTAAAATAACATTACTATATACTGCATAATATCCAATGGTTTTTGCTAATGAAAATCTGCGTGTGTGTGTGTGTATGTGTGTATCCCATGAATCTATTGTGTTGCATCAGCAAAATACTTCTGGGGCACTTTTAATTACACTTCTAAGCAGACTTACCATGAACTTTGTCACATGTACCAATACTTTGTCCCATGCAATCCTACTGTACATTGAGGTGAGATTAGATAATGGGCCACTATGCTGGTAACTCTAAATATGGTTATGACCAGTTCTCAAGTTCTTTCATTCAGAAAAGGTCAAACACTCTCCTAAATGAAGAAAGCTCTCTACAATTAATTTGTTAATCTATACTATCCACCCACCTACCATACCACTCATCCATTACATGCCTGAAAGAGCCTGCAGCTTAATCCAAGAAAAACAGGGCATAAAGCAGGGGACATTCTGGATGGGATGCCAGTCCATCACAGGGCAAAACACAGAGGACACTCTGGACAGGAAACCAGTCCATCATAGGTCACAAGGTAGGGGACGCCCTGGATGGAATACCAATCCATCACAGGGCACAGGGAAGGTGACTCTCTGGATGGGACATCAGTCCATCACAGAGCACATGCACTCTCACACATGCAATCACATACTATGAGAAATTTAGAGACACCATATCAAGTGTATGTTTTTGGAATGTAAAAGAAAACCAGAATACTCAGAAGATACAAATTCCACATGGGGGCAGGAATCAAACCCAACATCCACAATGCTGCCCATGACCCATTCTACTACACAACAATGAGCCAGGGCACCATTTAGTAACTTAATAAATCTAAAAGTACTGGAAAATCATTCATCAACAAGTGGGAGAGCTGGACTGTGAAGGGACACAGCAGGAGGAAAGAGACCAGGGTGAAAAGGTGGAGATGAAGCATGACAGCATGGACCATGGGCAGGAACTGACCTTGCCTGTAGAGCTAGACAAGGAGGAGTTCAAGCTGCTTGGAGGTGGCCTCTTGTGACGCTCCTTCTGTCTCAGTTTCTCCTTGTGGCTCTAAAAGACATATACTGTTGGTGTAACATAACACATTCAGGTAGTTGCATGTCATATACAAGATATATCCTATAGTATTAATCACAGGCAAGGTAATTTGAGTTCCATTTTTTCAATTAGTTTTTATTTTAATACTATTTAAAAAAAAAAATTTCCTTTTACGGTTTAGCTTCTTTTTAGTTAATAAGCAAAGAAAGGGGCAGTTTTGACACTTGATCTAGTTAGTAAAAAATTTGAAGAGTCTTTTTCAGACTTGGCAGACACATTGCATGGTGGACTGATTAAATTTTGAGACAAATCGCACCAAATTGGAGCAATGCCACTTAGTCACAACAAAGGGAAAGGTGACTGCAGAAGACCCTTGGCCTTGTGAACATGATGACTCGTGAAGTATTTGTTAAATCTTGTTACCACATCACAAAAACATTAAATGGATGAAGATGTACTAGATGTATCAATACAAATAGCATCAAAATTGAAGCATAAGTGCTAAGTGGCTGCAAAGGAAGGAAAGGGTGACTGCAGAAGACAATTAACCTGGTGAATACAGTAGCTCTAAAAGTATTCGATGGATCATTTTCAAACCTCCCAGAAACTTTAGATAGGTGACGATCTGGGGCCTATTTCACTTCAAGACAAATCAACCCAAAACAGAAGCGTCATTTGGTGGCACGTGAAATGACTGCTACACCCGCAGATTTGGTGAACCGGAATTTATCGGGACATGCAAAGTTTAGCTTTTAATAAAAAAAATTTGGAGTGGTGGAGACAGTGTGTAGGGGGCTAGAGAATTATTCTGCCATTTCTGTAGCAATAACCTTGGTTTTCTTCACATTTAGCTGTAGTCCCATCTTTTAATTTCTTTTCATTATGTTCTTTAACTTTCATTATCTCCTTTCTATTTACTCTAAGAAAATGAACTGTTCCTCTTCACTTTACTTTGTTTTCAAAAGGAATAGAAACCAGAAAGTGGGTCATCAGAATCAACAGTACTGTATTCCCCAAACAGCCTTGTTACCTGTATAATCTTTCCCCACCAATTAGGTGGTTACCTGTATTTCTTTGTGCATGCTTTAATGTCCATGTTTTAAAATGTCTTTTATATTATTGATTTTTTATATCTAAATATTTATATTCTATTCATTTCTCATTTGCACTATGCCAAACATTTTCTGTGACATTAGTGTAAGAATTGCAACAAATAATACACTAATGGTATTTACGGAGTTCCAGAGGGACAGTTCTTTATTTATTTATTAATTTATTTTTTTTGTGGTGCGATCTTGTGGACACAATTTAATGGATCTACAAAATACAATCCCTAAGATGTGCACTCAATTTGCTATATCGAACTCTTAATTTAAAAATGATAAAACTCATGAATTGAATTAATTGTAAATTCTTTCTCATATCCAGATTACCTTTTTTGGCCATGGAAAATTAGGTTCATGTGTTGTACAATAAAAGTGATTGCCTGTCCATTGGAGGGCTCACACTCACACCGAAACTAAATGAAGAACTCAGAGGAAACAAATGACAATGTAGGAAAACATGCAAATTTCATACATAGTCAAGGATAGGGACTGTATCTACAGCCCTGGGTGTCTGAGGCTACAGTGGCACCCACAGTGGTGCTTCATAATAGAAAGCCTGCTAAAATGAGGAAGGCAATACAAACAGAATTCCTGTTTTTGCAGTTTCTAAGCATAGGGTTTACAACTATGGGGTCTTCAAATGATGACGCAGTTAATTTTCATCTTGAACACAGAATTCCATATACCGATTCATCACTCACCCTCTTCTGCCGATGATGGTGGGAACCATGCTTCTCCGGGATGGTGGTTATGGAGGTTCTTCTAGTGTGGCAGAATGAACTGCTTGAATTCCCGGCTGCAGGTCGCATCTTCTTCTGTAATCAGGGCACAAAGAAGGAGTCTGAATGAAGACTATAACTGAAGTTCCTAAGTGTCTTTAGAAAAGGCCAAGATTCATTCTCCCATTTTCCACAACTGCTTATCTGATACAGGGAAGCCATTCAAAGAGGCCACAGGTCATTGACAGCACTCCAGATATCAAATGGCATACACTACAAATCATTAGAAGACAGGTATCCACCTGAACTGTATATTCTTTGTTTGAGAAAGCAAACTGAGACTTGTAGGGGAAACTCACACAATGGCAGAATATAGAAACTCCAAACAATATAACCTGGCATTTGTGAGACTACAGTGCATATACTGTATACTCAGAGAGCCTGAGAATTTTTCACTTAAAAAAACTGAGCAGGGCTACTATACTTAATGATTTGAAGAAACTGTCCAAACAATTGCTTTATTTGACTCATGTAATACTGATAAAGGCATTCATTACTGTCTGTTCATCTAGCCTTTTCGTAAGCTTTGAAATTCAGCTTGTGTATACTTGTAAGTAGCATTTCTGTCCAAAATTAATAATCTGTAAATTATAAGTTGTAGTCATGCCATTAAACAAATGTTAAAATATACTCCCATTGTGATCATTCCACATTAATTTGGGGATTGAACGTGTAAATGTATATCAATACAAGCTTTAATGCTAGCTGTAATTAATCATAAAAAATAGTGAGATTTACTTTTATGTAAAATAAGATTTATTGTGATTCTGCAAAACACAAAGTAAAGAGAATGAAACTGGAATGAATCTCGAAGCCTAGTACAATGGTGGTATAGGGTTAACCCATCAGCAATAAAACAAATACAAGTAAGCAATAAAATGTACAAAATGAACATTACGATGTACAAAGCACACAATTTGGTGTCCAAGAGTATCGGTGCAGCAACAAGTAGACAAATAGCGCAATAGGCAATTAGTGTGGTGTGTGTATATAAATGTAATACAATATACACAAATACTGAAGGCGGTAATATTAACAGTGAGGTCTTGTGTTGTGTGCCACACTTATTCAAGAAGAGTCAGAGTTCACCAACCTGGCTGTACAAGGATAAACCTTTTTTAAACCTTGCAGTCCTGTCATTTTTTTCCTGAGGGAAGAGGAGCAAACAGATGACAAGCGGGGTGGCTAAAGCCCTCGATGATACTAGAAGCCTTTTCCCTGCAGCTGCTTGTATAAACCCCACCGATGGACTGCAACCTAATACAGTAAATCTACAGAGACACGGGGATCTTCAGTCCACCACACATCTCCACGTGTTACAAATGCTATTTCAAAATAGTGCCTAAATAGAAAATTAACTGACTAGCTTAATGCGCTCACAGCTTATTGTGGAACTCCTTGGTGTACTCCTGTTTGTTGCATGCATGGGGGAATGTTATTAGGTTTAAAGACTTCAGCAGACACTAGGGAACCATGTGCTCACTTACCTTACATTACTTTTGCTTAGGGAATACCTGCTGTACCTCAGGTTCTTTATTAAAAGTTTTGAATTAATTTCATAATTCTGAGGCCTTGTCATGCACAACATGGATTTTCCAACACTCTATAAAAATGTGAAAAGTGTGCTATTCTTTAGGTTGTTATTCTCTGCCTCCGCCTTCTGCTAAACTTGGCGCAAAGTGAGGTAAACATCTACCTTAAGAGACAGGCCGGGAAAAACTAACCTTAAAAGCGTTTTGGGTATTAAAATACATTGCAAGCTCTGTTCTCTGCAATGACAGTGTGGGATTCCTCTAAGTGTGAGTCAGCAGTACCCCCTCCTGAACCACCGTGCCGCAGAGCAAGGACGGGCAGTTAAACTAAGTGGAATCCCATGTAACTCTCGCTTGTGCCATGTAACTCTCGCTTGTGCCATGTAACTCTCGCTTGTGTCTTATTCTGCCTGGGATCAGCTTAACCCCCACAACTCTGACCAGGACAAATGGTTGGAAAATGGATGTTACTTTATTAGTTAATATTTTAATTTAAAAACTATTTGCTTAGCTTTTGAGCTAAACGGTATATTTGGACCTAAGAAATGAACTAAGCAAATGCCACCTATGTGGAATGTATGGTTTGTAGAACACAAACATATATTTGAAGCCCTCAAGTAAGGTTTGCTTTTGCATTTCTAGTCAAAAGTATTAACCTAAGGTTATGATCTAATGAATATTTAATGTAATAAATTCACTTAAACATCATGTTTTAGGGCTGCCAGAGGAAAGTCATGCAAACTGTATAGGGTTCGGAATCAAATTATGAACACAATATTACGAATACACATAAGCATTATATCAATACAACTGTACCTCTTCAAGTTACATTGCTCCGATAATTTGAAGACAATTTTAAAAATGGTCTTCAACTTGCCATACAAATAGATTATGCCCGACAACAGGAAACATGCAAGTACCTTGGTAAAAATGTTCTACCACACTTATGTAAATATGTCTCACCATTTTACTGAAGTGGTATTTGCAGTAGCCACAGTACTTCACATTGTCGGCTTCTGGTCCTTCTTCCTCACACAGAAGCCCAGCCATCTGAGCACTGGATTAAGGAGAAAGAGGAAATGAGACATGAAAGGAGTATGGCCTTCATTTCAACTGTTACTTCTCAATGTTTGCTGCAAATTGCTTTGGTAAATTGATACAAATTCTTTTGAAAAATTGTCAATATATATTTCAGATCCATAGAAGATGATGGGCTTACATAATCAAAAAAGCACCAACAAAAAGTAGATGTTGTAGCAATGACAACCCTATCTAATCCCTACTGCTCCACCCACATCCCCCCCAACTCTACAATCTCGAGACCCCCTACACACTCTCTCCAGTCGTGGCTCTTCCCTTTGCCATGTCTGTGACACTTCCCCACATTTGGCACTGCTTCAGTTTTGGTGCGATTGTCTCAAAATCATCCTGGGAAGTTTGAAAATGATCCATCTTCTGCAACCATCCTCCCTTTGCCACCATCTAAATCTGGTGCGCCATATGTTTATCTTCATCCATATGTTTATGTGAAGTGGTAATAAGAACCATCAAATAATTTTTGAGTTAACATTCTAACAATACTAAGTGTCTGACCCTGCCCATATCTTTGCCCATGTGCTGCTGCTTCAATTTTGGTGCTATTGTCTCAAAATGAAAGAGACCCTAGATAATGATCTATACAGTGTTCCTGGAAAGATTGAAAAAGATATACTTTTGTTGCACTAATGAAATAGGTGTCTGCAATGGCAGCTGGCCTCGGGAACATAAGTATCCCTTAATCAGGGAATACAATACCTGCATAGAGAAAATTAACCTTTGTTTTGGATGAATATTATTAACATATGTTGATAGATGTGTGAATTGATTGACTCCTGTGTGTGTTTATTCATAATACACATTAAGTACAATTTGCATATGGGATATATAATAATATTTTGCAATCAGGACATGCAATTCATTGGGTCTTTCTTGGAGGAATAACCTAATACTTCTTTCTCTTGCTTCCCCTCACTGTAAACTCATTCTGGACTCCATCAAGAAGATTCTTTGGTGCCGTTGCCTATACGCACTGCAGACCTTCATGTCAAGAATGCAGAACTAAATGAGGGTCATCACCCTCTACCGGCTGCCAATCAGGTCACGTTGTACAGGACGGCCTCCCTTCCCATGTACGTGGCGTTTCTGCTTCTTTCTCTCTCTCTGCTGATGCATTCTTGTGCATTGTGCTCGTCAGCCACACGGCTATTGGGGGTTTTGGGATAGTATGGAAGCGAGTTCTTGTCAGTGAAGAGAACTCCATATTGCATCGTAAGTCCATTTCTTCATCAGTTTTGTTTGGGGTTAGGAATTGTTGAGTAAAACTAAATGAGGAAAAAATGGAAAGTCATCATAATGCAATAGATAATGTGTCCTTCCTCATTTTTATGCTAAGTTTTTCATGATGGCAGCCACGGAAAGCCCAGACCCAAGCCGCTCCAGCCAGTAGGGCTCAACGCTCTCTCCCAGCATCAGTGAAAGGGATTATTGGGAATCGTGCAGCACTGCTTGGCAATAATGTCCCTAGTTCCTGTGGCGGTCCAGGAGATGCTCCAGAGCTCTGGAGGGATTGGACAGAATGTCACCACCTAAAGCTACAGTCTTGCAGATGGCTGGAATCTATGTTAAATGCTGTGATGTGACGGGCCATCAGGACTCCGCTGGGCACCAGCAGGTGGCAGTCAGCACCACAGACACTGGCGGTAGCCATGGTTTCCTCAGCATCAGCCAGTAGGTGTGCCAATAGGATGCGACTGGTGGCTGATAATTGCCCTTAGCAAGGGCCAGTACAGTCTTCCCTTGCAAGTCTTAAAGCCCATAAAGTGAGGAAGGTGGAAAACTGTGGACGCTTCCCCTAGCCCAGTGGATGTACCACTTACACTGAATTGCACTTGCGTAAAGACTGATTAAATCAGGCCGACACTGAATAAAATGGGTTTTACAGGTGCTCCTTGACAGTTCCATTCCATGGTTCATGTGCAACGAAAATAATACTTTTTTTTCAGAAAATACTACAAATTCATTGGCTTATTGTGGCTAACCTATAGGAAAGCTTTCGGAATAACATTTAAGGAGAAAGGTCTCCAGAACATTATAAACTTGCTCAATTATATATGTCCTGAAGTGGATAAGCAATAAAATATGAGTAGTAAAAAAAAATTAAAATAAGGTGACCACAAACTATGACAGATAACAACACAGTTTTATATTCAAAAACTGCTTATAGTTAATATACAGTAGATTTAGTGATTTGATTGTGGAATCATCCGTTGCATAATCCTACAGAGGGCCACTGAGATCTATTCTTATGTGAAAGCCATAATTATTAAGTTTACTCCTTATAGCATGACTGAAAACTTACCATATGCCAACAAAAAATACAAAAGAAAAATCAACATACGTGTAGTAGTAAAGTATCCTAAATGCATGAGACAATGATCAGAGAAAACTGAAACAACTTTTGCGACATTTTTACTTTCCTCCAAAGATTGTGATCTGCATGATGGAAGGGTTTGTATGCTCCAAAAACCCACAGAGCAACGTCACCTGGAGCCTGAGTTCCTGTCTGGGCCCCCCTTGGGGAACAGGTCCATGGAGAGAAGCCAGACAAACACTGGTCTAACAAAGACCCATATGAAAGGTATAGATAAATATCACAGTACCCTAATTGGACTAGAGTTACTGGAACCCACAGCTGGAGCCAGGCCAGTTGAGGGTGTTCACCATAAAAAAAAAACAAGTGGCTAAGGCTACCCAAGTAACCTCAGCCATCATGTGGGCTTACCAGCTGCAAAGTGAAAGGTGGGGACAAGTAGCTATGCTCTATTGGTAGCAAGCATGAGAGAAAGACTCCAGAAGGGTCAGACCTTGGCAATGGATACTGGCTCTGAGAACATGAAACGTTATCTTGCTGGTGAGAAAGGATGTTGCTTAGATGCTTTACCTCCACGCACAGCGTAAGAACCAGGCTAGAAACCGAGACTGGGAAGTGACATCTCTCCTACTCTGGAATTTTGCCTAATGAATAAGAGGGTTGCAACTGTAGGTTGCAAAAAAATCTGACAGCTGATAGTGACCTGGCCTTCATAGGAAGAGTGGATGAGGAACTCGAATGTGTACCTCCTACGGATTGTAGGGTCCTACCGGGTGACTTCAAGCCAAGTGTAGTGAGTGATGCAGAAGCCAGGAGGACATAATTAGAAAGAATTTAAGCATGAGTGTTGAACTGTTATTGGACTTATGCAAGCCTTGTTCAAAAGAAGAGTCCTTGGTACTGGAGCAAAGGACTAAAAGTTAATGATTAACTGTGTGGTTGTGTCATCTGACTTGGCACACTCTGGCAAAAAGAAGTACAGAGTTATCAGCTGATCAGAACTTGGTGGTGAACTGGATTCAGCCCAAGGGACATCTTCTGGGCTAGGAAGACATAAAAGATTTTCAGAGAGTGCTTGACTGAATTGCAGGATGACGTCAACTCATACCTCTGTAATGACATCTCCTGAATGCTGATAGAGCCTGGGATATTGAGTATGAATGAACTATATTCAAACCCTCGGACATTGCAGTGAGTGCTTTTTATGATGGCGCCCCTGGCCACCAGTAGTTAGGGTAGCTAGGCTACCTACACACTTTCCATTTTAAAATTCCATACTTTTTCAGACTCTACAGGGGAATGGAGAAAAAATTGCAAATTTGGTCAAATTTGGTGGGGGGGGGGGGGAGTTAGCAGTGGTGATTTGTTAAGTTCCTGCCCCCAGCGATACCATCCTGGACAATAAGCCATTTTACAACTAGACAGCAATATTGCTGCCTGTCATATGCCAACTAACCCCACGCCTTGCAATGTTGATAGACTTTACAAATACCTTGTATTTTGCTTTCCATTCACAATGGGAATCCTTAGCTATCCAGTTCCAATAGCATGTGATGACCTGTATTTCCCAATTGCCAGCATTGTAATTGAATGGTAGCCTGCATCAGTGTTTTTTACTGTGGATTAATGAAGCGCACACCCCACAAACACTGGTTTAAGATGTTGCCCTACAATGTTCACACTGTGCACATTTGAGCTCTGACAACCAGCTCACAATGGTGATTTCATTAAGAAGTTCAATATGTAAATTGTTTTGAAGAAATACATAGTAGGTCAATTTCTTGCAATAGTCTGGAAAAACCAAAATATTTCCATACTTTCTTTCATTTTTCCATACTTTTCCAGACTTGGAAAACACCAAAATCAAGTTCCATGCTTTTCCATTCTGTGTAGGATTCCTGGGTAGCTGTCATGTTCAAAAAGAAGGTCTTCGGGCTACAGTGGGTCTCCTTTATCAGCTGACAGTTCTGAACAGATCAGAAAGGCAGCAACAAAGGAGGAGGAAAAAGCATGAGACATATTTGGAGAAGTCATGGAAAGAGAGGTGACCTTAAAGATGTTTTAACAAACTGTTAGAGAGCCTACAAGAGGGGTGGGGGTTGAAGGATGCAGTGTTAGAAAGTTCTGGTGGATCAGAGTTTATCATTGCAGTTAAAGTTGCTATGGTGATCTCAGGTCTCCACAGTAGAAAGGCTGCAGGGTAAATCAAATCTGTTCAAAGATTTTGACGGTATTAGGTTTTTAGGCTGACATGGTTGACATACATCTTCAATATTGCATGGAAGACAAGTAAAATACTTAAGGACTGGCAGATGGGGGTGATTGGCCTAATTTTTTTAACAGGGAAAACAGAGGGTATGGTCCTCCTAAAGGCAGACTTTATTTCACAGGAACTACAGGAACTATGTGGATTCCAACCTGGCTGTGGAACAGTGGAGCATCTACTCCAGGGGTGTCAAACTCCAGTCCTGAAGGGCTGGAGCCTTACACATGTTTGGGTTTCCCCTCATTTAACACACCGTTTCAACTCCTTGTGCTAATTACCACACAGCTCTTGAGTCACTTGTGAAGGAACAGGGAAAGAACTATGCTACACAGGGCTCCGGCCCTCCAAGACTGGAGCTTGACAGCCCTGATCTATTCTAAGG